TGAAATATTCAGACGGAATTCATTCCAAAATTAGGAAATTCACTATAGTGACATTTAGATCAAATGTCAGATAATTTATGATTTGCTAAGAATGACAAAAAAATTTGTTTTAATAATTGACAAAACAGCGCAGACGATATGGTTATTTATTTAGTGGATAATAATTTCATATCGTTATTTTATGTGCAATGTTGCAATGTTGGCGTGTATAATAGAAAAAGTTTGACGGTGCGGCAGAATAACAATTGTGAAATGCGTCATTGTTTGCGGTTGCACGGAATGAAAACGCTCTTGCGTCTCATTGGTCAACAATACGGAACAGTAAAGTCAATTCTCAGTAATGGAGCTAACTATCATGGTCGAAACCAATCAAATTGACACAAAGTTTACGCCCGCCAGCAATTTCCTTGCATCATTGTACCTTTATTACACAATTACAAAACTTAATGGGGAGATCAAAAAATTAAAATCCTAAACCATCAAGAAAATATTAGACTGTTAATTAAATAAAACAAAGAAGCTGAATAACCCCGCTATTAATTAAAACTGTTGATCTATAGATATATGATAAAAGCGAATTTTGTTTTAAATTCAAGCCAATCCCGAACCGAATATTCAAATTGACGAAGAATCAAATAAATATCACAGTGATGGTAGGTCACGAATTATTTAGTATATGAACCATAGAGATATGCATTAGTTGTTTGAGGTGAAGCTTTTTGTCAGGTCTTAATGGTCCATTCGGTCATTCATATTTGCAAATCAGTAAATCAAATAACTAATTTTCCGACAAAAATTTGAAGTTCAATCACTTGAAGTAAGATTTCAGAATATATATATTAATTTTTGTGATTTATTTGGATGGGTTAAAAAGTAACTTCGATCTTGAAATGCACGGCACTCACTCAAGAAAACTATACAAAAGAGTGACAAAGATATTTCCTATTTTCTCTGTCTGCTATTCTTTGTGGTAATTTGTCTTAGCAGCAATACAGACTTTTGAAAGAAATCGAAATCTTAATGTCATGATGAAATTATTCCTTACCTTCTGTCTGTCAATTTGAGACTGAAATATGGTGAGTCGTTAGCTCGACTCTTGTTTTATTCATAGCTCTTATTATTTTCTGCAGGTGTATATATATATTTGATACATTATGATACATCATTATATATGCCAACTGAAATATGTATTTGTAATTTTGTAATATCTTAAAATAAAATAGAAAACTTTCATATGAACCTAAATTTGGTTTTCAAACTTTACACATTTGAATTACAAATGTAAGTAAATATAAAAAGCATAGGACAATATATATATATATATCATTTCAATTTTTAATTGGATCGTGTATTTTGTCAGAAACCTATTAAGTAGATGACATATGAAGTTTCATCTTAAAATCTTTTTAGTATTCTCAAGAGAAGCCTAAAATGCCTCAGGAATTTTTCTTTTTTATAGTAACTTTCCATCACGGTTACACGATTTTTACAGATAATTCAAAACACTAATTGTAGAAGAAAATAACACGATTTTATCGCATTATTAACAATCCATTTTCGTTTTTTAAAATTTTAGTAATTTTATTAATATTTTACAGTAATCATTAAACTTTTTATATTGATGCTACGGTGATCACACACATACGAGTTGATACCTCAACAAAATGAAAAATTTGAATAGATTTTGGCATATCATGTATTATAAATACAGATTAACCGTATATGTTATTTCGTTTTGAAAAGACCAGTGAAGTGGTAACGGTAAAAGATAAGATCGTGTTCAAGAGAAATGTCGTATTATATTATGGCACTACAGAATTTTTTCGTATATTTCTGGTATTCGCAAACCGAAATATTTCTAAAATCAGATAGTGGGTATTGCTGATTTGAGTAAAAATAACCTGATGAAATCACAACAATACGAAAAACGTGAACCTAGTCATACAAGATAATAAAATATTATTTAATAAACAGCATATTCCAAACTATGTTAAATCGTCTAATATTGGTATATATTGTTCATACGATTGTTTTTGAATTCTACGTCATAATAAGATATTTCAAATAATTGTCAGTGTCATGGTATAGGTTTGGCTGAGTCTTATTTCAAATGTGTAAATAAACAAACAGATCAAATAGTCTTTTAAGATATAATAAAATTGTTACTACACCCGCAAAATGGATTTATCAGTAGGAAATGTTGACCAATTGCTGCTGATTTCCAAATCCAAACAGTTCTGATTTTTTTTAATGTGGTACCCTTAATGGCTGTAAGTCATTAACGTCAAATTAAAAACTACGTTACCTAATTTAGTATTGTTAATTAGGATGTTTGTTTTGTTTTTGTTACTACAATGACTACACTATTGGATGACTGACTACTAGATATATAACAACTTTTTAATTGCAGAAATACAAGTATCGGGTACCTAAACAACATGAGATCCAGGTACAAACACATGGACACAAAATTATCGATTAGATGACATCCACTATTGCTCACTATATTAAAATATATCCATGTAGGAAAAGTATTGATGGTTTCAGGTGGCCCATAAAAATAAAAAGAATACGAAAAAATTGCCCCTAAAAGACTTCTTCCATTTTTAAACATTAAAAAATATTTAAAAAAATCTATTCTAGAAGTAGACGACACACGTATTTTCGTCACAACAACAATAACATGAACAACATACGATTATTGTCCAAAATTTACAATAAACCATCCAAAGTGTTTGTGTGAGTTTCATAACTGCTTCCGGTTATAGCTAGCGGTTTTATCCAAGTATTCAAAATGACTCACAACGTGGGCGAGTACTCGGATGGTGTTGAATTGTTGCAATCCTAATATAAGAACCATGCTTACTCCCGGACATACTTGTTTGCCAGATTATAATCTTCCTTAGATGCTTAAGGAATAATAAATATTATTTTATATTAATCCTATTTTGGTGAATGATTCGAGAGATGGACAATTGCGCCATTTTTAAATGTAATGTAATAGGCGTATCAACTCCGGTAGATTTTATTTTTTTGTATCAATGTTTTTGTATTTATTTAATCGCCAAGAATGGTGCAATATGAATGACCTAACACAAGTCATAGAACTTGGTTTCCGTTTATTTCATGCTATATTTAATTCTTGTCGTCGAGTTAAAATAGATCAAATAAAAAGAAAATTTTTTCATTCACTTATGTTTTGTAGAATATCATTTACTTTATTTGCTTGTGAAGGTGTCATTTTTTTGCGAATGCATACGTATATTGGAAACTAAACTGCTGTAGTTACACAGATGAATTCAGAGTTTCCAGAACCCGATTCTAACACTAAGAATTTTACAAAATATTTTTATATATATACAAAGAACATGCGTCAGTAGCACTCACTCTAATGAAACTTTATTCTTACGTAAGCACACGTTCTATAATAATCTGTCAGATATTGAGATATTTATTTTTATTTGCTTTTTTTGCCATAGTTGTCACTCGAATTTATATGGCTGAGATTGGCTGTATAGTATAGTATTTGAGACATTATTCGTCTCAAATGGCTGATTTATCTGATATGATTCTACTGACTAAAGCAAGTAAATTTACTAAAAATGAATTTATTTGTTTTGCTGTGACAGAATCTTGACGAGCACTCCAGGCAATTAATTACTTCATACCCATAATTCGAAAATTAGGTACCGTAATCTTCTTATCTTCACAAAGCCGCCATCTTGTGGTGATCAATTATTGTGGCTTTATTTTCCGGCCAACGTGACACAAATTCTCCCTGAGGGACATTGATATTAGGGAGAAATGCGTTTATAACTATGATTTAAATGTGAGATTAGTTGGGAGAATTTTTGTCAATGAATGTGTAATAGATAATATACGTCCGCTACTACCAAATTTGCCATCACAATTGCATAATAAGGTGTCATTGATAATTATTTTGACCCTTCCTTCATCTGCATTGCGGGCAGTATTCAATAACAGGTGATAAAGTTGAATCCGGTTTTTGAGCCTTTTCTCATTAGTTTATTTTGTAGTTCTCAGTTCCCTTTATATTATCTGAGCACGTTGGTGGATTCGACGTTATGTTTAGGTTGATTTTCTCATTTACAACAAGTTGGTATTAATTCCGGTCCGTCCGTCCGGTTTGAAAATTGTATGTGAATATATGATATTTCTCCCAAACTGTTGCTGAATGATTTTTTATGTTTTGCCTACTTTGATTACTGGCAATCGGTTTCATTTCTTCTAGCAACCATATCCCAGTCTTTGTTATAGATACGCGGCCCAGATGATGCAACTTCTACAAAACATATTCAATTATCTAGTCGTACACACCCGTCGCGTCGAGAAATCAGTAGTGCGATAATGAGGAAGGGCTTTTTTCAACCCTCAGCGAAAGGCTCGATTGCAACTGCAACTCTGAATGTAGATTGCTGCTGAAACAGTGGGCCTTCCACATCCTGTTTTAAAAATCTGAGTCGACAGCAAAGTCTCACTCGGGCAATATTTACATTCCCTAACCAGATCAAAAAATAGGAAAAGAAGATCGATACCAACGGGGAGTGAAGAATATTTTTACTTGTAAAGAATAGAAAAGTCAGCAACAGGTTCAAACGTCATTGATGTAGAAACTCGCGGGAACACGATTCAGTTTCCAGCGATGTAAAATATCCGAGATACATCTCCCCCGACAAAACATGCTACGCGTAATTAATTTCATACTGCGTTTATGACGCATCAATCGCATGCGTGTTGCGCGGAACGTCATTCTCTCATGCACAGCTAATAAAGACATCTAAGGTTACTATGGGATTAACGCGTCTCGAGAAATACTAATGTCACGAATCAATGTTTTACATTTTAACAACACATTTTCTAATACTAGTGATTCCCACATTTGTATGATTTGCATTCTAATGTTGCTCTAAAATTCGCCGTCTTCTACATAAACATACAGACTAGCTATTTCGTGGACATATTTTGATTTTTACATACATTTTACTAAATAAAAACAACGCATTCTATAATGATATTATAACGCATTCAGTCCAGTCAATCAAACACTGCTACAGTAAATAGTATATTGGAATGCCATGGTTGTATAGTTATGTTGAATATATTGTAAAAATAGACAGTTATTGTTTACATTCATTAAATAAGCTCAGCAAAAATATAATTATAGCAATATTATAGAATGTACGCACAAATAGGTATCATAACTTTATAAGATATTTGAATCACAATATTAAATTATTAATAGCGTTGAAATAATAAAAATATTAGCTGAATGAGATACGTGCCCAATTATATGATATCATACACAACAAAAAGAAATTCATCAGGGCAAAAAAACTTTATAGAGGTCTAAGCAGCCAAGAAGTTGAATTTCGCTCTTTCGATTCCTCGGCCTTCAAGTAACCATTGGTTACGTTAATGAAATGTCCAGCGTATTTGACTGATTGAAGAAAGTGTCGCCCCGAATGCTCATTCTTGTGATAGCGAATAACTCTTGGATCTTCAGACATATCTGATCGATTTAATGTGTAAGGCGGATCAAAATCACTTGCAAGACGAAGTAGGCCATCTTCACCGATGGCGGCATAGTAATATTTCGAACCTTTCAAATCCTTGAAGCCGATCACGTAATGCTCGGCACTGTCCGCTACGTACCAGGCATAAATCTCGTGAACTACGTGAGACAATTGAGCATGTAAAATCTCATGATCGGCAATTCGGCGTGGCTTCCACTGCAGCGAATCTTCTACGTCAACTAATCTTATTAGCATCGCAGAGTCCATGATTCCATCACATCGATCATAGCATATTGCAATTGCCATAACAATTTCACATTTGTTCACATTTTCTTCGTCTTCCGAGTCGGAGCATATTACCTCATCGTAGTTTAAGCCTTGAGTATTTTCCCCCTTCTTGGCCCTTGTTTGATAAGTGCTAGTTTGACATGACATGGTTACTATACCGCACGATGCTACGAAAGAATTTTTGCGCGGACGGTCCTTCGCAGAAGGGGCAAGGCTATTCATAGACGACGACATGTTGGATTCCCACAGGTTGTCAAAGACAAGCAGCTCATCGCCGGACCAGGGTGTTTTTTCCACACAGCATGACTTTGATCTTGCTTTCGTTTTGAAACGTAATGTTGAAAAAGAGCAAGGTATTATATCTGACATCACGTAAAATAATAGTATTTACGATTCTGAAATACGTTATGTCGTAAAATATGGGAAATATTTGATACAAAAAAAAATGTTACGATCAAAGTTTGTTCAAAAAGTTGCGCCAAGAGGCTTGTAAGTATGTAAAAAAAAACACTTTCAGTTGACTATAGAATAGACTATAGTATTTTTATTTTATGCAATAGATGATGTGCCTCGGCGCTCGTGGACTGAACATAGACTGTGCTGTGGTGTATGAAGGGTTTTTGGCGATATGAAACCGTTCATAGGCTGATTAATTAATTATGGTAATTATTGGATTATATCCGGCGAGTTCATGACTGAAAATGCTTTTTCTAACATTGGTACACACTTTTGAGCCACTGGGTCTCGACTGAAATACATCCTTCAGCCATGGTTGTACCGTACATGGTTCAGTTTACAAACTTAAATTAATATCAAGACCCGTATTACGTATTATTTGAATGAATAAAGACAATATTAATTTTCCTGATTCCTTATACAATGACAAAACTAGTTTAAAAATTCACCGAATGACAATATCAATTTTCTCAATTCCTTATACAATGACAAAACTAGTTTAAAAATTCACCGGAAAAATAATAGCCTGGGATGCCGGTATTCCCGGTAAGTTTGGAAGCTGTGATTAGCTTCGAACACTGATAATCTTCGGGTTACAGTCTAAAGTTCTTTCTAACGTGCCTGAGGTACAAGCAGTTTATTAGGATTGTAGTATATAATAAACTATATGTGCAATACTCTATTATATATTATATGAACTGTTGTTATATTTGTTAACTGAGTTTTGACTTGTCTTGAAGTTTATTAGGCCTACACATAAGCATAGTCTAAAAGCTACTTTATATCTTTTGTATTCGGTGTTTTTTCCAGTTTAGTTGTGCGCTCGTGAACTTGCTTAGAAACAACTAAACGACCAACTACATCTCCAACTTGATTTATAACCTAAACGCAAAGGAAGTGAAATCAAACGAAAGTAGTATCCCCAACATACAGTGAATCAAATCCGGTTGATATGCAATACAGTAATCCAGTAATTGGCTTCTTTGATGTTTGGTTCTGACTAATCGCTCGTTAAACTATATATATCAGGGAATCCTCTCACGTTTCGGTGTGTCCACATTGTGTCCTATTGTAGGCATTGTAAGTTGTGCTATTCGCTTTACCGTTCTACAAGTGTATATAAAATGTAAAAAATATTAAACTTACCATTTGAATCCCAGTCTGTATACAAAATATGCTTGAACAATAATAAACAATCGGACAATACTTGAATACTTGATTTCATACCACCGAACTATATTCAACGCAAAATCCATGATCCTCTTACCTTGCTGGTGTTAGTGGTGTATTATCTTCAATGAATAGTAGTTGAGCTCCACTGACTTGGCCCGCTAAATTGGCAAAAAAGGTTTGTACACATTAACGATTTGTTCAAATTACGTTACAAAATATAAATATTTTATTAACAGATTAAGTAGGACATATGTTGAATCAAAATGGCATTTACATCATTATTAAGCAATACAAAAAGTCATGTAAAAAAGCAAATAAACCGCTCAGTATAGATTCCCTCTTCTGTTCAGAATCTAGATCATTTACAAGGCGGCCATGGACAACCCACGCATCATGGCCCACAAAATAAATCCTTCAAGTAACGGTAATTATTAAATAAAAAAGAGAGCTATATTCAACTATATGGATACGTAACAAGGTGTCGCTATGTTTTATTTTGACACCTAAAAAACGAATCTCTTGAAGACCACAGAAATTTTTGTAAAGGGTAAAAGTAACAGCCTTTTGGCAAAAAAATCAATCTTTAACCCCTGAAAATTTCAAAGCAATTCGTCCAGTATTCGAAGAGAAAGCGATTCTATCATGACAAAAAAAAAAAGAAAGGCAAGAATAACAATATAATATTGAAAAGATCGTTATGTCCACTGAAGTGTCCAGAAATTAAAATTCGATACTTGTTTGGCGCTCCAGAAGGGTGTGCACCAATATGTAGATAACTAATTTCGTTCGCCTACTTTACATCCAGTTTGTGTAAATGGACTGATTACTATAGGCAGGGGGTAACATCACTTGGCCACTACAGACAGTCCCTGAACTCGTAATCGAACGAAAATGAGAAACATCGGAATAAAATTATGGGCTAACCCTAACCTGGTGCACACACCACTGGAGTACCAATTTTTTGACTGCTTTATTGCCCAGTCACTCAATATATAACAATAAAACAACCGGGGCATAATATTTTTATTGTTCTGAATGGTTTCACGAGTTGTGATACTTTGAAGCTTTATGATTTAAAGAAAAAGCTCAAAGCCAAAGAAGTGCGAGAAAAACAGACACGTGCTTTCAAACACCAAAGAAGAGGTTCTTGTAATTCACATAAATTCATTTCAAAATATTCTAATCTTCTGCAAATGCAAAGCTATGATGAAGCTACGTGCAAAAGTCACTTAATTAAAATCCTAATGAAAGACGTATGTTGTTCGATGGTGACATACTAAAAATGAAAATCGAATAATAAATATTGCAGAGATAAGGTTTAGAAAAATTTTCCCTGAATAATAAATCTGTGAAAACTAGACGTAAGAATCAAGCAATTAGAACGGATATGTGGGTTGTATTTTCAAGAAAAGAAGATGGTTACGAGTTGACGAGGAATTCCAGAAGAAACGACATTTTCCAAATTGAGCAATTCTTTATCTTCATCATTATTCCGTCCATCATTGCCGAAAGGAAACTTCATTCAAAATTGAAGAATTGATCTTAATTAAACATTATAGCTTGTTATTTATGATACAACTTTTAAAGACAATTGAAGTACAATCTTAGCATTACGCACTTCTGGAAAAAAACTATACATTTATTCATATTCAATACAACACTTAAATCCGAATATTTTTCAATTTAGCTACATTTCAGTGTATATCTGTACATCAAGTGACTCCATCATTCAACGTAATGAATTTTTAGTCATTGCTTGTGAGAAGGTACGGATTGAATGGTTAAGGATGAAATGAGCTCATCGTCTTTTATTCGATAACGTTTATTGAAACATTTTCTTTGCCTGGATTGAATTTAATTCACGGGAATGCATTGATATAAGAGATAGTCATTACCAAAGAGCATATAGTGAAAAGCGTTCACCAGAGCCTTAAAATAACCTGAACAATATAGATTAACTTGCAGAATTTTTGGCATGTTTTTGAATATTTATTCATTCTTTTTATTTGGTTTCGGGTTTTAAACTAACTAATGTATTTACCTTAGTGAATCAATGTTATCACAAGATGTTCTTAACTTTCAGTCACACATGCTTTATGTTATAGTTCAGTAAAATGGTGGTCATTTGCTAGTAATTTTAAATATATAAAGAGGTTGTAGTAAATTAAATGAATATATCAATTTCATATGACTAAAAATGAGCAAGGTAGGATGTTTTACCCTTCTGCACCAAACATAGATTCCGGGTTCTCCATTTATTACAGGTGTTATGGGCTATTGAAATTATGCAAATCGACATAAATATTGCGACAGATAATACAGATAAATTTACAACATCTGTATCAATTAATCAATTTTGAAGTCAATGGCTATAAGCACTTTTAATATTAGTGTAACGAATTGTTGTCATAGTTCCGTTTTTGCTTCAATAAATCGATATAATGAGTAAATTCCCACCATAAATACGAAACTGAAAACTCAGAATAGTTGCAAAGGGGAAACTTAACATTTTGCATGCGAAAATGATGACACTGTGTTCAAAATTTTCTTATGTTTTGTTGTATTTAACCCTTTTTTTCCGCTGTATACAATCGACTTTATGTACCATTTTATAATATGCAATGACCAGTTAACCAAACGTACAAGGAACACCCCCAATATCTCTTTAAAAAGCTTATTTTCGCGTCTTCCTACTAAAACGCGCCCAAATGACGTAGGCGAAACTGTTCGACCCTACGCGTGTAAGAAGAGAGAAATTTCAAAAAATTTTGAGAGAACGTTTCACACTCTTATCGCTTCGATGAACACGTGTTACAAAGAAACGAAATTCCAAGCGCTCTTCTGAAAGAGGGTTACGTCACCTTTGCAGAAAAACCAGACTCAGCTTCGCAAGCGAAGCGAAACGCGAAATAATCAATGATATGTGAGAGCATGTCCACGATAGTTGTCTGGAATCTTTGTTTGTTTATTATGTGCGCGAAATTGTTTCCCGCTCGTTCAAATGACTTATTTTTGAAGTAATGACAAATACTTTCGTGTATCTCTAAGCTTTGAAATGCCTACACAAATAAAATTCACTTAGTAGTAAAATAAAAAATTTACAAAAAAACAAAATGTTGACAGATCAAGCACGGATCATAGTTGGATGCTCAAAATGATTTAGTTAGTGCGGAATACTTCACAAAACATGAACATAAACGTAAAATAGTCCGAAAATAACTATTATGACCAAGGATGGTAATACGAATATATAAGTTATACGGAACAAAAGAGTTAAATGTAATTTTTGCCCTGGTGTAAATAGGTCATTCAGATTGACTCAAAAAACAGAAACCATCAATTTATTAATTACTTGACAATTGATTTCTAACAAATGATTGAACGCAACTGATTAATTACAATAAAAATACCTCAAACATATGTCTTTTATAAAATATCGAAGATAAATGACTCTGAAATAACTGCATATTTTATACGATATCGCTACAGTATAAACTTACATTAATTAAGTTAGAGTTCAATTTGAGTTTAATTAATTTTTTATTGCGATGACGCACAAGGTCCTGTATTACTCAAGTCTTGGGTGAAAGACTGGATTTTTTTGGCAAATGGGTGAACATTTTACTTCTATATATCATAGAAGCAAAACCGTTATCATTCGTAACATGATAATTTAATGTTTTCCTAACACGATTATTGAAATTATTGATTTTTTACATATAAAAGCCAGTTAGAAAGAGCAAATAATATTTAGGAGTTATAATACAGTTTTTCGACTGAATTCAGACTGGAGTCTTCCTACATGCCTCACCTCTTACAACAACAACTATTCAAATATCATTTTATTTGTGCTTGTGAAATATTAAAGTTTCGTGAAAAGTGATAATAGTTTTATACAAACGATTTAAATATCGAAAAGATCCCACAATTTCCATTGTTGCCGCGCTGTACCGGCATTGACATTTGGTGTAGATGTAGAATTTACTTTTCTCTTACAATTAAGTAGATTAAGTTGGTACCTTTAACTGTTCACCATGATACAGTCAGTCATATGACGACGCTCTATCTGTTAAGTACTTATACATTAATTAATAGTAAATTCTCTGTTGTCATAAGAAATGCAGGCAGACAACCCGACAGCATTACACAAAAATGACGGGATGTTCACTGAATTTTCCATGTGCATTTTGTTTTTATGTCAAGTTGTCTTAATGTAGGAAATTTCGACAAATTTATGGATTTGTTGCCAACAAAACATACTTTTCGGTCGCTTGATATTGATCACATAATTGAGATTACGTAATTATAATTTTTTGCAAATATGCGAGTTCATTGGGTGGATATGCTTTTTTAGCAATGGATACAAAAAGTCAATGAAAAGTAAATAGGTTTATGCTTCCGCAAGACTGCTGGCTTGCTTTTTGTTAAACTTTACGATCTTTACGGAACTTTCCTTCCGCTAGACTTATTGACCGCCCATCTCCTTGCAATCTTATGGTGGTTCGCATAACCCCGATCGGTTACAGCTTCCTGCGCCAGAAAATACATGCGTCTAGTCAACTCATATCCTGCATGGACCGGTAAAAAGACGAGAGGGTGTGGTTCGCCATATGATTGCTCCGTCTTATCGACTTTCTTCTCCCTGGGACACGCATGAAAATTTTACCCAATTAAGGGCCAGAGCTATGGCTCTCAACTTTTATGAAGGCTATTATAGTAAGCACACTCATGGCCGTAACAATCAGCAAACGCTGGTGAACTAAGTTCACTCGACAGCCAAATTTCATACAATAATGCCACAAGACAGTACGTCACTATTATAATTCAATATCGGATACAGTTCGTCAACTTAACTTCGTCAATTAAAAAAGTAAGGAAAATAGAAGCCATGGCAGGTATCATCTCCCTTTCAGCGCATATTCACTGTCGGATGCATAAAACAAAAAATTTACTTACAAAGTTTAATCAAGAATTCAATTATAAGTGGTGATCCGCAATAAGCGGAAGTAGGTAATTTATCATGGAGTATCGGAGTTATGGAAAAACTCAACTTTGTAGTCTTGCAAGATACAATATATAAAAGTCAAGAAATTCCAGTACAAACATGATCGAAACTTCATATTCATTAATTATATTAAACATTCAACAATTTCTATTTACACATTATTCGTTGGAATTGATCATCATCTGCAGATATAAATTGATTTTAAAATTTATATAAACCGTTTCTAACTTAGTGCGTCACGTGACGTAAATGATAACCGCAAAATACTGATAGAAATATGAAGTGAAATTAAGAAAAATTTATGGTAGTTCAATAAGGCGACAATGGTATTTTGTTTTATCTATATTTTATGAAAGGAAAGGCCATGCATCGGCAATAAAAGTCCAAAACAGAATGCGTTCTGCGTTACTCAGAAATAGTAACTTTACTATTTTTTTTCATCAGCTTTTAGAATTTTCTACCATTCCAAGTTTGTTCTAAAGATGTTCTAGTGTGCATACTTAATTCTTTACGCGATCTGTGATCACAATTCGTTGTTATTTTGCGTGTGCTGTTAAAAATAAAAAGTGATTCCACTTCAAAACACATGTCATGAATCTTCCTTGTGCGTGATATAAATCATCCACATTCAACTTACAATTTACAACCCATTTGCAATTAACATAACCTTAGAATTTATATACTGAATATTATTTATTAATAACATTATGAATTGAATTAATCTACTTTTCGAGTATATTTTATGATTTTTTGTCATTACGAAATGGTGGCTTCACATCGCTTCCGCAATATATCCCTTTGTTCAATGCATAACACTGGAAAAAGATCAATTTTGTCTATTAATCGATACTCAAGCGTAAAACTATCTGCTTTTCCTGAAATACGCATAAAATCGTGCATAAAACTTCCAAACATTCGCACAGAATACTATGATTCGATTATATTTGTTCAATCTTGACCTGGTGATATATTGACATCTTATTATTAGAATTACTAATAAATCAAGCATGATGTTGTTCTTAAAATTTAAATTGATTATTTGACCTAGAAGAAAATGAAAATTTAGAAAAGGTAGTAAAACGTTTACAACTTTGCTAAATTTAGCAGGCTACGTTAGTCACGGGGCTAAGAAAATCGTTGCAAACGTGAAAGTAAGATTTTGGAAGATTCTAGGCGTGGCAAAACATGGATATTCCAGTAGGAATGATAGAGGCTGGCAATAACAATATACAGTTTGATTAGTTGGTATTGTATTACTATTTTCTTATAAATGCGCACAGGCATGAAATCTCGTCCTACTCGCATCTGGTAAATAATAATGCGTCTGAAGTATGGAGTATTGTCGTACAAGGCGTGGACGGCATATAATTATTAACATCCACAAAAAGTATCGCATGGATAATCTTTCAAAAAAAAATATTTACTAATTTGTATGTATGGTTTAATAAATAATATTTGATAATAATAATATTAAATAATAATTTGCTGGAAGTGATGCATGCCTAAATCTGTTTTGTGCTTTGAATACAAAAAGCATATCTGGTCGCACAATGACAGCACGCAGAAAATGTAAAAGAATAGTGAATATGACTATTTAGTTTTGAGTTTCAGTGGCAGGACAAGGCCCCAAGGTTTGACGACGTTGCTTCCAAGCCACCTTTTTTAGTTCCTAATTCAGGATTAAGTGGCCACTTGCTTTAGAATATTCATGATTTCGAGAAAAAACAAATATCGAGGAAATAACTATAGTGGTGGTGAACTATAACCATTTTGTAAGGTGTTTTTTACATTGTTTGCAAATTTAGTATTTTTTTTTTTTTATTATAAATGTAGAAATCGTTATCATATTTTACACTTTTTTTTCAACGCAAAATGCCCTCATAGATTGTTTTGTTGAATATTTGTTGTTGTTGCGACAAAATTTCTTTGAATTGCCCTTAATTTTAATTAAGTCAATTAAGTGCAAGTGTGTTGTAGAAGACTATTACTTTAGTGCTTTTTTCATTTTGCAATTTGCAACACATTTGTCAATTTAAAAATGCGCTACCTCACACTGGGTTTTCCGATTTCTCATTTCGGGATGTGAACTCTCATCGACCCATCCATCAATCTATTGAATGATGTGATGAAATGCCATGGTACAATATATTATTTTTTAATTTTATTATTGCACATTATTGCAGTTTTTGTGTATAAAAGAAGTTTAAAACATTGATCAATACTAATTTGACGGATTTAAATTTTCAGTTTGAACAATCCATCGGGATTATTATTATTGAAAAATTGATATTATTTGAACCGTTAAATCTGGAAGATTAGGATTGCATAATGATTAACTATTCGAAGATTTGAGGCCTAAACTTGTTATAAACATGATCTGTTTGCTCATTCGAGCGCACATTAACCCTGTTAGCATGTGACAGAAATTACAATCACTACCAACATTGGATATTACTATGTTGTTCATTATATCTAGAAAAAGACGCTATAGGCTTAAAAACAATAATACTTATTGTTAATGGGAAAGAAGATAATGGGAAAGAAGATTCTATAAATTCCTTAAATTACATTTAAGTAAAAAGTTCTGCACTCTTGATTTCGGAAACATATCTAAAGTAATGAATGTACAAAAAAAAGTTATATCTCGAGTATCGATCCTAAAAACGATGGTTCTCTATTACGGAAGCAAAAATTAGATCAGAGAGCGATGCTCAAATATATGAACACAATGGACAAATGACCACCGTAAAAGTCATCGAAGTGAATTATAAACTGCGGTGCATCAATTTTAAAAAACAGTAAATTTTGGGTGAAATGATGAAATTTTGAAACAGAAGAAGATAAAATACCTCTTTTTCGAATACTTTCATCTCTAAATATCATAAAATTGAAATAGATTAGCCTAGTATTTGTAAAGAAAAGCGTTTTTGTCACAGAAACAACAACTCCAAAGGAACAACAATTTCCATAGGTTCGCTTTTTGTCCAATAAAACGATTCATATCCTGCAACTGAAACAAGGCAGCAAAACATATATATAACAAAGAGTAACGTCACAGGAAGTCTTTCAGCGTGTGTGTGAACTTAAATACTACATGTTTGGACAAGTTCAAACATTACAAGCATTAAATATGTTTGTTACTAGGACCGCCGAGATTGGGTTCATTCGTGTTCAATTGATTAGGGATAGGATATGTTTCATTAGTATTTTGACGTGAACAAAAATATAACTGTATACATCCGATGTTTTTTTGCTTTTTTTGAATTCCTATGTTGTTTTCAACTGTTTTTATAACGCAGTATAATATTAGTTTTTACATAGTGAGTGCTACACAATGAAGCTTCTGACACACATCATTACTACAGCTGTCCTAGTCCTAGGTGCGACATGGGTATCCGCTGAAATTGAATTCAAGTATAAATTTGTGAGTAAAGCCTTTTTAAATACATTTTCAAATCTTTGATTTTTGTACGTTTTATTGAAGCAAAATCCCAAACTGCAACCTACAGAGAAAAATTCGGCAAGTGAAGGTTCTTGAAATAAAATTAATTGACAAGCAGCAACTATAGTAGAGTGACATGATATCATCGAGATGCAGTTATCCGAAAATTTGTGGCAACGGGGACCGATTTATTCATGACTTGAATACGTGCTAGCATTATTAAACAACTATTTTGCTGTGTCTCAGATGTCTCGAAACAAAAATAAAATCATATCCGACATCAAGAGACGATAGACAAATATCCACAATTGAAATATCAGCTGGCAATAAAAAATGGGATTCTGGTCGGTGTGCACCTAAAGTACAAATTCTCCCGTTCAAGATAAAGTTTAATGACTTTTTTTATCTTAATTACTAAAATCCTCATTTTAGTTGCGTTTGGAAAGCATGTTCGAGATTGAAATATCAACAGAAATCCAACCTCAGGACGCAGCCAGACGTTATGTTGCAGTTGCCTTTGGTCCCAACGCACTCATGCAAGATGCTGATGGTTATTTCTGTACAAATGCTCTTTTGAAAAGCTTTACAATTAAAGAACTTCAAATGGTACCCATAGAATTGCCGGTGAGTTGTCTATAACTATATATCCGTCAGCATAAAGTATATACAATACGATAATACATAATGGTTGGGTTGCATTGACTATATTGTATAAAACTCGAAATGGTTCCGAATTTTCTTTTTTTTTAAATGTCTATGTTCGGTAGCATTCGTGGATGTTGGCCATTAATTGATTTGGAAATGGTTTTTTAATAAATCTATGGCTTTTCCCCAGTTATTAAAAATATTCGTTCTTTATCTATTAGAAACTGAATGGAGCAATTTTGAAAACCGTTAGCGCAGATGGAGGTAAATTGAAATGTACATTTCTTCGACCAATCAAAGTACAGAAAAGTATATCGAATGACGTACTTTACGATTTCGACTTCGAAAAGGAAACATACCATGTTCTAACTGCTACTGGGTACCTAGATGCACAGGGTGAGTTGGTTAATATGACTTGCTTTTATTAAAACATAACGGATCGGATAATCGAGTATACTGTGTTTTCAGTGTAACGTGTATACTGAGGGGGAGGGGGTTCTGTTTTCACTCAGCAAGTTCACTTGAAGTAAGGTACTAAGTTTTAAAAAAATTGTTCCATTACATTTGAACCCACGTACATTTGAACCTACGATAATTGCAACTGCATACTATTGCAACTATGGACTTTTTTGTTTCACGGATATTTGAACCCATACTAACCCTAACTCATGGGTTGTAGCACCCGCATATAGATTGAACCCGCGGATATACACATGGGTTCAAATGTACGTGGGTTCAAATGTACGGTCACCTAAAAAAACATAAGCAGTACATAAGCTACAGACTATCAGTCGATATCGAATAAAAGTGGCCATGTCTGTCGGCTTTTGCACCTTAGGACTTGGGCTACCCAACCATTTAGCTATTAGACAGTGGAAAATAATCTCCTTTCTCTCTCTCAGGCGGGATGCAGTATCACACTTTTAGAGCCGTAAACATGGTAAAGACAGATTTCGCATCAGCCATTTATGCTGAATACAGCAAGCCTGTTGATCAAAGTGAATGTTCAAAGAATGGAAAAAATTGTCTGGCGGTGCCTTCCCCTTGCACAACCAATCAACCACACTGCATGTTCTTTGCCATACGTCAGGTTAGATAAAAAAAATGTAATCGAAGTTCCATTTGTAGTTAGAAATGCACAAAGCTGTAAATTACACTAAAGTGATTCCATCACAAAATCAAATATTGAATTTTGTATTTAGTATTTCTACAATTATTCTAATTAATAAGGTTTTTCAAATAGTTCTCTCACACACAGTTTCATTTAACGCTTCGTTTGTTACATTTTTTTAAGTTTTTATTCTAGAGAAAACTTTGCATGGTGCATATGCGTGATTTGCTTTAACATTGCAACAATAATTGTTGAATCTAATTTGTTATTAATGCTTTCGATTTCAATTTCGCTTTTGGTTGAAAATACTTGAACGGTTCTTGGCATCGTTTTCTGCAATTGAAAACTACACTAAAGAGACAAGTTTGATTATCGACATTATTGATCAAAAATGTTTTAATATCAAACTTGATTACTGCGACTCAAGTAGATTTTCATGCCTTATTATAAAGGTACTAGAAGTCATCTCTGTAATGAGGCGTGTCCCCAATTACTATATGCGTGGCATCTAAGGCATATAGGCATTCTGCATTTTGAAAAGTAGACCATAATGTTATTTCGCGGTTAATCGGTCCATTGTAGACATCACTAGCCTTTACATTTCAGACCACAAAATTTGAAAATACCTCGAGCCAAGTCACAAACTTGTTGACTAATCTTGAAAATCTTGATATGATATTTTTGATTGGTCACCTCGATTACATGATTTGAAATCGCTTTGTTCCTTGATATTCAATGTAGGTGGCTATAGCAATTATGATCACAATATATACACACTAATTCAGGTTGGTGACCGATTCGAAGTAGAATTGAGCGGAGGGACCGGTAACGGTGGGTCTTATATGGCTGTTGCTTTTGCACCAGAAAATAAGATGCATGATGCTGATTTATATTATTGTACTGGAAATGAACTAAGATCTGCTGTTATTAGAAAAAGAGAAGTCCGACCGGTGGACTTAAACGATACGGTGCGTATGAAATCAAAATTATAGAAAAAAAATGATAAATTTAATGAAAATAAATCTATAAGATCAATTTTTAAAAATTTCAATTCATAAAAGGTTGGCTACGATACAATTGAATTTTTTTTATTTCACAGACCATACAAGTCTTAAAGACATCATCTGAAAACGGAGTGGCACAATGTGTATTTTTCAGAAAAGCCTGCGTAACTAAAGAAATATCAGCTGGAATCAGAAATGATTTTGACTTCCCGGGCGAAACATACTTCATACTTCTTGCTATGGGAAAAATGTCGCCAGGTAGATTTTAAAAGGGATGGGCATATCCAGATTTTTGTGGATGAAATATTTACAACTTTTATTTTCTAAATTTGAATGCAAGTAATTTCATTTCGATTAAATTTTCTTAGATGGAAAGATGTTATATCATGGGAATGACACACGCCTGACAACTAGAGGAGCCTTGCCTCTTGGAAATCCAGCAGGACTAGACTATGAATGGTATGTATACATGCCCACGATTTGCAAACTAAACCAGCAATTTGTATATTTATATGGCCCGTGTGTGCGTGGAAGAAATATTTAGGCTTATAAATTGAATATTTGTAGAGCATAGTTTGCAATTACGTCTTACTACAGTTTATTTATATTGACGAGCGGCACATTTCGCAGAAAAGATCCTTCTTGTGACGTGTCTGTGACACTACCATTGTCTGCCACATACCATGTCTGTTTTATATGTGCCGCGCTGTTAATGTAAATCGACCTGAGTTACTCCGAATACAGGATTGTCTCCAGTTATTGTAATGTAGTACAAATGCGGAGCTTGATATATCTATCACGATATGTATGATTCTTCCAAATGGTTTTGATACGCGGATAACATTACAGCACTTTACTCCAGCTTTCGTTATGAAATTGTATGTATTTATGACGAGTTTTAACTAATTGACACAAGCTCGTCAATAATTATAAATATAGGTTTTTCCAAGTAACGCATTTTGTCAAGGGTTTATGATTAGCGTCCAATTAATGAAACTTAACTCACGTATGTCCGCTTGTATATTCTAACTGAGTGAATGTATCTACAATTGTAACTGACAATAAATTTTGTTTGAAATTTTTTTCAGCGATGCCATCGATTTTGAAAAAGAAGTTGTTGATTCTAGTACGTGCGCAACTTCAAAAAATTGCGTCACTTTTCCAACCGGTTGTCATCCGTCATCTCCAGATTGTTTGTTTTTCTCTTTTACTCAGGTGACAATAAGAAAAAGTTAACAAATACTGAAATGTTCAGGGTCGTGATTGCTGAAACGTAACACTAATTTAAATGCATAGCGTACAGGTTGTTTATAAATCGGGAATTTATAATCTATAGCAGTCGTGACCAAACCCGCGGTTCTTGCGCCGGTTTATGCGTCTCTTTTCGCCTTCGTTATTTTGAGTAAATAAAACTTGCAAACTACGAATCATCTTGTTTCGATTAAACATATTATGATTCATCGTGCATTGTTCTTTTGCGTCGAAGATACATGAACACTGGGGCTGGGAATTTCGGGGAAAACACTTTAATCGTTAACCGGGTAAAATTAACCGATTGACCGCAGCGTGACATTTGACGTAATAATTTATAATTTCAGCTTGTTACGTCACAATGGTTATGAAGCAATTTCGCGTGATCTTATCCCGTTATCGCTCAAAATTATTCACAAATCGAGATAGTACATGATTGCTCTGCTGCAAGAGATATGCAGCGTGGTTCGGACACGTGGGAGTATTTTAGAAAATCCGATTCCGGTATCAAACGTCATTTATGTGACAAATTTTCAGTGATCGATGTACAAATTCTACTTCGAGATATATCATAAATAAAAACGGCACCATCTGCGCACTTGTTGGATGACATTGAATATACGATTTTGCAATAAAACAGCGGATTGTTTGAAATGCCCTCTAGTCGCAGATGAGGCTGCAACTGAGTTGAGGATAATCGATCTTCACGAGGAAGACCAACTGAAATGCGCTTTAAGGGAAGGGACCATTAAGTTAAGGAAAAGCATGCCAATGAAAAAATACCCCAATGTCAAACGAGCTGCGCTTAAGATATTGTCAATGTTTGGGCCAACATGCGTATGCGAATGCCAGAAATCACACTAGGTGGCATGCATAACAATACATGGCTTATAAATTTCTGTCACAATCATGTTGGCTTGTGACATTTACAATAAACTAGCAATCTAGCGGAGCCGAATAAAGGTATATCTGATGTTCATGTGTGTTCTTGTTTATAATGTGGCTCCTCGCGGTAAAAAAGAACGAAATGCGGCTCTTGGTCTCTGACTGGTCTATAGTCACTAGTTGTGAAACAATTTTCTATGTACACTGTACAGAATATTTTTGAATTAAAACTAACGATTTATTTATTTTTGTGGGTGGACTTTTTTCTGATTCAGTTACAATACATATATTTCATCAAAACAAATTTGCCCGTGTTCACACCTAATTGTACAGGAACAAAATCAATACTTTACTCAGTACTTTACTCAATACTCAAGTCAAATTATTACATTTCCATTTATTATACTTCGATAGGTTGGAAATGACTTTGAAATGGAATTGAGTGGCGGAACTGGCAACGGCCAACAGTATGTTGCAGTTGGATTCGCGCCGACTGGTGATATGCAAGATGCTGACGTATACTATTGTGACGGAAATGATGTCAGATCCGCAGTTATACGCAGGCTCTATCATCCTCCAACTACATTGATAAAGTCGGACGTAAGCTGTTGTAATCATAACTATAATACTAGTATTTCTAGTACTCTTCGGTCTTTATTCTCAATACAAATGTGGCAGATTTTTCATAACTTACAACATAAACTGCAACAAGATGAACAATTTCCATCCGGTTTAAAAAAATAAATTTAGCGCACATTGAAGATTTTATTAAGAAGTTTAATACGAGTGAACTTTTGGCATATTTCGGCGTCAAATAAGTACTGCATCTGGAAAAAAATAGTGCCAAATTTTCAAATTGGAACCACTCTTCGCTTTACTAGTAAAAAAAATTATTCATGGTTAAGAAAATATATTTATTTTGAAATTATGTAAAAGCAATGACCTGTTCTAGTCCCACTGCGGGTAAAAATCCACACCGGGCGTTAATTGCAGGATGCCCCAATTGAATTTTTTCTACAATAAATGGACAATATAATGGAATATCTCTAAATTACCCTTTTTCAGTCCGTAATCAATGTGATGGCTAAAACGACAAATGGTATTGGTCACTGTCGCTTCACCCGACCAGCTTGTGTCACAAAGCAAGTGTCAGAAAATAGAAACTATTCGTTCGATTTATTGACAAGTGGATACCACTTTCTTTTAGCAATGGGAAATAAAAACGCAGGTTATATATTATATTTTTAACTTCTTTTTTATTATTTCTATCTGACTAATAGTCAATACTTTTCATAATTAATCAGGCCAGAGTTACGTTGGGTAAAATTGCAATTCCATATTGAGTCTTTCTCTATCCCTCTCCGTTGTTCACGACTCTAGAAACTCCCATAAAATAATATTGGTAGAACAAGAACTAAGCTGATGTATACTAGTTTAGCACACAAAACTCCAATTTGAATACATTCAGAGATTACTTTGAATATACACATATTGCATAGCAATAAAATTAAATTCGCCTTTTTTATTTTATCGGAAATATACTTTTTTTTATTATAAGATGGCGGACTCTCCTACCACGATAAGCAGAGGAGCGTGTTTATGTCACCCGATCCACTTGGTGTGGCTGAAGGAGATTATACATGGTAAGTTTCGCTGTGTTTAAAATTAAATATTAATTAGAGTTGATGGGTATTCATTCACAGTTTTCTAGGAAGTATAATACAACGATTATTAGATCAACGTACTACCGCTCTTAAATCTATCTACTGACTTCTCAAATTATTTTTTTTTAATTACTACGGTGCTTAACTGGTTGATGTTAAATAACTGCTTATATATGAAGTGTTGAAGATATGAAGAAAGATTATGAAGTGTTTGACACTGCAAGTTGTAACGGGCTGAAGGAATGTATACGTTACCCAAGTGATTGCTCTATCTTATCACCGAATTGTGCCTTCTTTGCGTACGAGCAGGTCGGTATACTATGTGACTTTTAAGTAACTATTATGTGAGGTAAGCTGTACGTTTATGCGAAAAAATTGTTGGACTCAAGTAAACGATGATCGGTAACGACATCCTTTGTTATCTGTGTCCTTTCGGAATATTCAATCGTCGACGTATTCTTACTTCCCTCTGGTTCAAAAGGAATATGCAAATTCTATTTTATTACATTTAGACTGAAGAATCGTTTACAATGGAGTTGAGTGGTGGCATTGGAAATGGGCAACAATACGTTTCGGTAACACTCGCTGAATCCGACACACAAGACGATGCATTGGTTTTCTACTGCACAGGAGAAGAAATGAAAACAGGATACGTTGAAGACGAAAAAGTGTTTGATGTTGAACATTCGGTGTGTAACATTTGAATTTTTTCACTCTCTATTTCGGAGAGAATAACAAAAATTTTCACATCTTTTTTTAAAATTCTTACCGCTTATTCATTGAGCTGATGAAATCATTATAGAAGTAATAATTCGTATTTGGTACGTTTTGATAACTACCAACAAGTCACAAGTTGAAAAAAAAATTTAAATTATAAAAAGCTCATCCCAAAACGCTAAGGAAAATTGTCATTCGGGCTGCAGTTTGGCCAAATTGCACATTAGAACAAATCGGGTAACATTTCAAAAGTAGACACAGTTTGTTAACCACTGTTCATTGTTTTGAGACTTGAGGTTGTTTATTGGGTTGTAATAAACAAGCTTATAACCATGTCAGTTGATATATTCGAATATACAGCCTCAAAGTTTTCTAATCATGTTAAGGTGTTATTATTGTTTTTGTTATATGCAGGGTATCGAAACAAAACTGAGTTCAACTATTGATGGTGTAGGAAGATGCGTATTTAAAATTCCTTCATGTCTTGTAGCCAATAACAGTAAATCTAATGAAACATTTAACCTCATGGAGAAAAATTTTGCGGTGTTCGTTCAATATGGACAATTAGAAGGTGGGTAGTCTTTTGAACATTCTGTTTTCTCTTTTGTATTAAAACGTACTTTACTTATTTGTTCCTTTTTACTTCTTAGTTGTAAAATAGCAGAATAGTGCATTCCTCGAATAAATACTCCTAAAAATAAATATGTCCGTACAGGAGTTTACGCTGAACATTCTTGTGGAAGCTTCAGGCACAGCTCGTCTGCCTTTGTCTGTCGTTCATCAACTCAGAATTGTCGCGGGTCAATTTGCATGTCGACTACGGACATAAAAACCTTCTTTGAAAATCCTGAAATATCAAATTTTTGCCCTACATATGAAATAAATATGTACCAAAATGAATGGGTTCTTTTTTTCCTTCAGATATATATATATCAAATTTTTCACACACGCACACTCGCGCACTATAAAAAATAAAACAGATTAATCACATTCAATACGTTGCTTATATTTATATATTTATACATCAACTTGTTCCAAAGTCTTTTTTTTATATTTTATTTACAGAAGACAAGCCGGTTTTAAATGCCAGTGTTCCCTCTGTGATTCGCGTACTGGGACAAAGGTTTGAAAGGGCAAATTTCACTCAATGGTACATTTTATTACAATAATTTATCCATTGTTTCAGTATCAATATAGATACAGAGACATTTTTACTCTTTGCTATGAAAAACAAACCTCGTGAGAAAGTACACAATAACGAAAGTAAACGTAGATTATCGGAATACAAAATATTCTTTAGAATATAGCTTAAAATCTTGTGGTAAGCTTGCAAAACAGGAACACAATGACAATTTCAAAATATAGACCGTCATAGTGATATTTTAAGCATCGGAGGCAATTTAACCAAAGTCAACCCAACATAAATTATTTCGCCCTTCATGAAATTATTTTAATGCAAAAACTCATGAAGTCGCCAAGATTATTTATTTGCTTTTTGGTTTACTTTAAATTCATGAACTTTAAAATGGACGGAAAGATGAATAATACTGTTGCTTATGTAACATTATCTTGAATCCTTCGTTTTCGTTGTTATTGTATTTTGTCTTTGCCAGTTCCCGTTGGGGTCTTCGGGTGACAAACTTTTGTGAGTGAGGTTGAATGTGGAAATGCCGTCAGAAGTTCGGAAGAATAAATACATTTTTCATTTGTTTCACAAATGAAGTGATATTTATATGGCATTGCACATTGCAAAAATATTATATATATTTACTATCTTATTTGGCAATATAAACCAGGTGTGAGGTTCAAATAAATACGAATATAGAGCAATGAGCCCAAATATTAAAGTTTTACTGATTGTATACCATTCCTTGTAATTACAGCATCGTGATAAACATCGGTTTCCAATCTGGATCTGGAGTAGATGTTGCATGTGCAAATGTCTTCGTCATCCTTGCTCTTCTTTTGATTACAAGAATCATGTTGTGAAGCACGATAAAATGACCAATACTTAGTTGAATATACTAATAGAAATAAATTTGAATCTGGATTTAATTGAATATGTGTGGACGCTATTGTACGAAGGAACTCTGTCTGAAAAACTGGATGCAAAACCTCATAACATTGTGCGCATTTGTGACATTTTATTAAACCTTCTATTTTATACAATATACTATAATGTTTCTGTACAGATAAAATGTGTTATTCCATATGCTTCAAATATGATTTCTTCGTCAATTTTTTCTTCTAGAAAATTTCGTATCAGAAATTGCTATTGTCATAAACAATATAAATGTACAATCTTCAATAATTTTTTTCAATTCTATGAATTATGTTTAGGGCATGCCAGGTTTCATACAAAATAAATTTTAAACCGTTGAAGAAATATCACACTTCTGAGTATTTGGTCTGATTTCTGTAGATGTCAGTCAGTGCATGGATGTTACATATTGTCTCCGGCCAGTGCGTCTATATGTCGCATTGTCATAAGAGGGAATTGTACGAGGTACGACAGAGAATGAGCAACGGGTGTTAATTTATTACGGCTACTCTGCAGTTATATAAGGGTACATATTTTGTCGCGAGTTAAACAGGAATTGTTTTTGCAAAAAAGGGTCATCTGACACAATCGTTGTCTGACACCTGGCTCGCTTCCACAAGTAATGTGAATTTTCATCATCAGTTGAGGGCGCCAGATGGCCAAATAATGTTAATTGATTGGGGGTCGAATTTGCAAGTTCGAGTTCAACGCGAGCCTGTTCGTGTGAAGGGAAAAGCTAAGTTAAATATGTGTCTGTCTATGTGTTTTTGGTGATTTTGAAAGAGTTAAGTCGAGTATAAATACAAGATGATAAGCCTGTTTTTATAGAAAATCTAGACTATGCAAAGTCGTGCAGGTTTAGAGGCAGTACCGGTGAAGAACTGACCAAGCTGTCGAGTGAAGAGTGGAAGCAAATGTCAAAATCTGGGCTCAGTCCAGCAGTCTAAATTGACAAACTGGGAGTAGGAATGGGGGACCTGACTACTGGAGTAGAAGTTGCAATTTTGTACCGGTACAGTATTGGCAGATTGAGTTAATTTACTATAACCTTATATTCCTCTGAATACAGGAATACTGAAATAATGATCCAGTATGAAATAATGGTCCAGTACGGTACCGGTACCAGAGTACGGTACTGCACTTACAAACAGGGCTTGTTTTGTCAGCTTGTACTAAATAAAACTGTATATCACAGATATCACTGTATAATAACTGATTGTGGCACTAATTCTATAATAAAGTATCATTCGCTCGCTATACACAGATACAGCTATAACTGTATAACTTCAAACTGCTGAACTGTGTAACTAACCTACCACAGGTCAAATTGCCTAATTTCAAACAGCTAACTTTGGTCACAAATTTCTGAGTTTAAAACCGGCATATCTTGGCATATCTTGGCGAAAATCGCCATATATCTGTACCTATATTGCCAATATTAATATTTTGGTTAGCGCTATTATGAGTATGTCTATTCTAAACTTTTTTAATGTTGCATTATTAATTTTTTGTTAGAAAAACACTCAAAAAAAACAACGCACTTCAGTAATGGTGTCACCCTGGGTTGCGGAAGTAAATTTAATGCCTGACACCATGGTGCCACCCCAACAGTTCCCGTTTAGATGAAGATGGTGTTCCAGTGCGATAGCTTTGTCTTATTCCTTTAATATGTTCAATTCAAGTATAATAATATATATATAGCCTATATATCACATCATCACAAGATAACATTCATGAGCGTACATGCCTTACTTAATCAAGGGCGCTAAAAAAAAAACGAAATATAAAATCAAGCGCTAATCGATAATTCCAACGTCCATATGGCACTGTCTACTGACTTACCGGTAAACATCTAATCATAAAATCTGTGGAATTCTCTGCCTTGTAGTCGAAATGCCAATTAATAAACGCAGCTTGGGTGGGAATATTTTTTAGAATTAAAAAATTCTTTTAATTTCTAACAAAATTTCATGGACCTATCTCAATTTTGATTAATAACAAGATTTAATTGACGAAGAAACTTTGAAACTTTACAATTGGTCACGCAGTGTGTAAGATATAAATTTATCACTTATGCAGCAACAACGTAACAGCAACAAAGCTATATTATTATAGCTATATCCCGTTAAATTATTTCATTCAAAACTGTTTGTAACAAATTTATTTCTATATGTGATTTCTTTCACAAGATGACTAATATCTTTTGTGGCTGATCTGGTGTAATGAAAATACCGAAGAAATAGAACAATGTAACCATGAAGTTTCGCAATTTGTCTGTACTGAATAAAGTGTCATTTTAATGATTAGTAAGTGAAATTTTACAGCAGAATTGGAACTGCTGTTGAGTAGGTTATATGGTATTACCATACATTAACTAAAAATGAATAAAGTACAATATACAATTGGCAAATGTCAATAATTTGAACTGTTTGAATTGGCCTGTTATCAAGTTGACTTCTGGTACCAGCATGGTGTTTGTTTTCTTCCAAATTGACCATCAAAATATACTTGAATGCCTTGTAGGCCTATAATGTTCATCAAAGTCAAAAGTAAACATGGTCCAGTGCCATTATAGCATTATGGGGCTACAAATTCTACAATCTAAAATTGTTTCTTGACTACTTGCAGAAGGGCACAGTTCTCTGATTCTAAGAGGTCCCAATATTTGGTTCAATAAAACAAACACTCTATTTGTCAGATAGTACCATGCTTGTCTCTATAATAATTTACTGTGTGCCGGCTGTCACATGACAAAAATTCTCCCGTGGATGTTTTAAGCTAAGAACTCAAATTCTATGGTGAAATTTTTTTCTGTAAATCGGATTATTTTTCCTAGGAAAATACAATGGTGTCATTTTTAGATTGCGTTTCTTTTAGTTTTCCTGCGCAGTGCAGATTACGGTTTGCCAATTTGCGAATCGGAGAGAGATTTATTATTTCCCCAACTTAAAAACACAGCTACGGTACATAAAAGGTCCAACGGCAATAAAATCGTTTGGTATGGACAGGGCAATATGACCATATGATCGTACGATCATTGAGGTCAACTCTCACAAAGAACTATATATTTCTGTTGTATCTCTCGCAATAATAATGTTATTATCAGGAAGAAATCCTATGACCGCCATCTCTTTGGTGTTAAATAGGGAATACCGAACTGGAGAAATTCTGGTAATTCAAAAATATATGGCTCCATGTGTATTGGTGGTGGCTTGAACACCTGAATAACGTAAGTTTATGCTTTACATCATGTTTTGAATTTCAATCCTGAATAAAAACTTCAATAATTCAACTTTATAGTTGTCGTTTTATCCACTGTCATTGGACCAATTGGGATCCTGTAATCTATTTTTTTATTATCATTTTTACAGAAATGTTTGTAATTAATATTGTGCAAGAAATAGCCAGGTAGCCAAGTTTATATTTGTCTGATTTCTCTTATCTAAGTTCTCATCGCAAAGATTTAATATTTTGTCTAGTTTTTCAAACTGATATTTGCCACCATGTATGGCAAAGCTAAAGGGAACAATGTTCCATCAGATGCACAAGCCAGAGAAAGGTATGGTTCTATTTCTTCATCTTGTTTTCGACATTTCATGATTTTTGGAAGGGAATCAAACAATTCCTTTCTCTCCAAAACATAGTGGTCTCTTGCATATCAGATGCTGCGTGTGTAGGGTCTTCATAAGAGCAAAAGTGAGAACCTCGATAAATGTTTTTGTGATTACCGGTATATTACAGCATGCAGTTTACCTTCGGGAGTAGAATGGTTCATTATATAGTCCCAATCACCATTTGATTGCCCCCTCCCATCATAGAGGGAATATTGGGCTGCCATTTGACAGCAGGTACATTGTGCTGACGTTTTCATGACACGCCTCATTAACACCCACCTTGAACATGTTCAAAATATAATAATAATAGAAAATAATAAAAATTAACTGAACATCTAACATGACCATCAATATTCTCAGCCTGTTATCAGCTTATGTCTCTGGTTACAAAAATAATTAGATATAAACAGTTTGATATATTTCATCCAATATGTGCTTTATTTTCAGGTTGGCGTTATATGTTTATGAATATCTTTTACACGTAGGTGCACACAAAGCTGCACAGACATTTTTAAGTGAGGTAAGGATAATGATATACTGGTACTGTTTTTTCTAAGAAATAATGTGTCCCAAAACCGACTAGTTATAGTCACTTTGGAAATGACCAACCCAGACACATGACAGCATTATCTATATAATTTGTGATGTAACAATGTGCTCACGTTGGTTCTTTGCGTAAACGACATTTTATATTTCATGTGCGCCGCGTTCGCATTGTTGTCTCCGCTTGAATATTTTACAATTTTATTATATTACAGTTTAGAATCCCCGACTTAGCCTGTACACCAGGGGTCGACAACCTTTTGTCGCTCGCGGGCCAAAAGTAAGGGTTGCAAGTCATTGGCGGCCGCACATATTTTTAGAAAGTTAAAAACCAAACTGATGGCCGATGTATCACATTTTTTTCACACAGATCAGAACTTAAATTTTAACAGCGCGTGAAGACTGCGCCATCTCGTGAAATCAACTTGGTCGTCGTACTTATTAAAGAACAATATTTACAAATGACATTTAATGTGAAACTCTTTGTTGCATCACGCTTTTCTAAATGGGACACTGGATGGAGCCAAGATTATGACATTTTAAAAATGGGAACTCAACTTGTTCTTTGTAATGTTCATTTTCGAAAATAATTGTTCGCATGCATATGTACTTCAAAACATCGATGTGAATTTTTTTCGCATGGTTTGTCAAATTTGGATAGAGTTTTCTTCGAAGAAGATACTTTTTATAATAAAAATTAGGCAGTGATACATCTCTCGACTAGAATATAGACTCATTTCCTTATTGCATTGCATTTCAAAAAATTCCATGTGAATATTTTCTGCGCCATTGAACCTTTTGCACTGCATTTTGTTGCCATTAAACGAGTAATTGTGAATTATATACGTGTTAGGTTATAATATAATTTAGTCTACATGTGTCTCACAATATATTCTGTTATGTAAAGAATACAATCGCCAAATCAGCTGTCGTGGGCCGTATTTTACATCTCCGCGGGCCGGATCTGGCCCGCAGTCCGTTACTCCGGTATAAACTTGGGTATACCGTATATCCCGTTGAAGAGCACTGCTCTATATAATATGTTCCAAATAATTTGGGTTTGTTTTCTTGTCTTACTCTGTAGTTAGATATTGGTCTGAATATATTGTGGATCAAATTTTAAAATAAAGTCTTTTTTTGTTAGAACTTTTGCTAAAAGACACCTAATAAAATAGAATGAAATTTCATTCCAATGTTTAGAGTAGCAATCTTCAGAGTATGATTCACATTGAGGAATGCATGGATCGATTATAATTACAAGTTATATTGATAGCATGTGATAATTATGCTCTTCATTTGTTAGATTCGATGGGAGAAAAGTATAACATTAGGAGATCCTCCAGGTTTTTTACATTCTTGGTGGTGGTAAGTTATTCAAATTTGTTCTCCAAGTTTAATTTTGTTTTTGTATTATTGATTTTGGTATTGTGATCGATTTATCCTATGCTTGTAGATGTTTTATTTGCAGGATGTCCCAAAATAAATGTAACCCATTAATTTGATTACCAATTTTGTGTTTTATTTTTATTTTGAGACACTTTATACGAACTATAAATCTTAAAAAATATTAATGTATATTTTTCTAATGATTGCGTGATGTTAAGGGAATAAAGACTATTCTGGAAGCTGGAATGTTGTAATGGTATTTTAGTATGCCAGAATTTCTTCATGATGATCTCTTCCCTAGTGATTGCAGTAATGCAATTTGCTTGAAAGAATTTTAACCGGGATATTTCAGCTAGATCTTTTGCTAATTGAATCAATGAGAAAATGATGACAATTCTTTTAATAAATATTGTTATTTGGACATAATTATTGATGACTGCTTCATGATTTGAGATCGTCAAATGGTGAATAAAATGCAACAAAAGGGAAATATTGGGTCCCTGTGCTTATTTTACAGATATTATAATGGACAGTCCAGTTCCTCACAACTTGTAACTTATTCTTCTAAAATAAATTTTCAGCCGTCAAACTCAGTTGGTTGTGGGCTCTTGCCAGTGTTCAGTCAGTGTACCTGCCAGATAAAAAAGTATCGTTCCAAACTTATTTTCAAAGAAATTCTTTTGTGTGGACTTCACTATCACATAACTGTTTTCTTGATCACAGTGACATGGACTGCATTGAGTCGCACGTCAATCTGTGTTTAATAATAATGTAATCCTACTTAATAGTTTGTCACAGTGTCAATAGTTCTTGGCACTTCCTTGGGGCCCATAATTTCGCTCAGTGATCAATCTCTATGTCTTTGTCAGTGTGTTCGACCTTGCTGTAAGCGAATCGTAATTGAAAAAACACATTCAGTAGATCAGTACAAGACTTCTCAAAACTTAAAACTCAACAACAAAATGATCCGAAAATCTTTAGTCTTATGTGTTCCGTCACAGGGGGAGAAATGTAAACCTCAATGCACCTTATTTATCGAACGGAAGTTTATTAGCAAGTACAGAAATGGAAAATATAATTTTGACTGACAGCAGTTTGTTCATATCATATTTCAAATGCAAGCAATAAGCAAAGCATCATTACTAGCTGCAGGATGTTATACTAAACTCCCATCTTTCACGTATATACATGATGGCAGTTACTGCATTGCGGAAACACAAAAACTCATTTTACACCAAATAACTATTTTAGACAAATTTCAGTGTTTTATATAACGCAAAAGTAATGTCTGTGATTTCATTTTATTTAATTTTAATTTCATTTTTATTGTTAGGAGTAGATATAATTGTGAGCATAAATACTAGATCAGTTACTTATATTTACTGAATAAAGTAACAAAAATCTTTCAGCATTCTTACTTCACCCATCTCCCATGCTAATGTCCATATTCACTAACAAGAAATCTTCTCATTGAAACACTACTGATTCCTTAATAAACAGTAAAAAAAATTCAGGTGAATTTTGTGTTGATGGCGACCCCAAAAAAACAAAACCATTTTAACACTTGAACTTCTGTTTGTGTATAATTGTATGCAGAATATTTAGAAATCTAGGACGCTTAACACTGAATTAATGTTGTTTTTAGAATATGTCTCAAATACCCTGGGTCGCTTTTTTCTTGTTTACCCTGTATAAACCTCCTCTTATGGTTTATATCCCATAAGTTTATCATCCCACAGGTCCCCGTTATATGGATTTCTGTATTGCAAGTTTGCAACTTCTTCAAAATATTGGTGTTATTATTAATGCTGCTACAAAACAGTGGTATGATATAGCTTTAGCTTCTAAACATTGATTGGTCTCCAACCATCCATGAAAGTAATCTACGCAAATAAGAGTGAAATATATTTGTGTAATTCACAGGTGTTCACTTCGAGCAGCAAATTCCAATCAGGAACTATTTTTTGGGATTGCAAATAAATAGCATGAATGTTTTCTTTATCACTTTATAAGAATTTCTATGCCTTGTACCGGTATATATAATTTTATTTGTGATTTGAAAAATGGTTCAAGCATTTTGAGCTCTGTGATACACTGAGAACCACTAAACGCTATCTTGGTTTAATTTCTGATTGTTAAAAATCGTCACACATCACAATCTTTCACACAGAATTTTATTTCCATTCTGGAAAATTATAAATTAATTTTAGACTCTGCGATACACCGAACAGATATAAACATCGTCTTTATTTTTCTGATCGTAAAAACTCGTCACACATTGTCTCAGTCGGTTACAAAAAAAAAATTATGAAGCATTTTAAGCTCTGCTTTACACCGTCTCACTTCACCTGTTGATTGCTGTCGTGCGGTCTTCATTGACCAACCAACACACGAATATTTTGTTGCCGTATTCTCTCCCGCCTTTGAAGTGCAAACGAAAGACGACGCGACCCGTCTCGCTTCTCTTTCTTATCATAGTCGTAGCGGTTGTTAATCGACAACGCTTTCTCTTGAAGGCTGCTACGCTCGACAGCCTCTTGTTTTCTCGCTTTTTATTCCACTTTCGCTGCTGAAATTCGCTAAATCAATACGCTCGCGGTGTGACCTGTGAGCGGCGAATGTTGACCCTTGACAGCGCCACGAAAGCACATAACAGTTCTTGTCCGTTATAAATATACTACATGTCATTTACTGGTTAATGATAAGCTGCCGATTGCAAATAACTGGCGCTGGCTGACGACTAGGAGGTGTGTTTTACAGGAGAGTAAAATATAGCGAAATCAAATCGCGATACGCCTTGTGAATATTCAATCAATTCAATGGTTCATTTACACAGCTCAAAAATGAAAAATATAATTGGGGACAAGCAAAACCATACTAACATGTGAATATGACATCTTGGGAAAAAACATGGGTACCAAATTATCCTGTTGCAAATGACTAAGATTTTGAGATACATACTATTACATACTATTTTTGGTACTTGTTTCTACATGTGTTACTGAATACCTGTTCAGATGATTATCCATCAATTTTAAATCTTGAATACAAAACATCTTATGAGTTATGAAGATAATATATTTCAAGAGATAGTATAACAATTCTGCTGTGTTTTTTCAATTACAACTAAATCCACTTTTGTCATAGCAAGTAATGAAGTTTAATAATAACGACAAATCTTGTTGCAAAGTCAATGTTGTATAAAAAAAAAATTTGCGAATAAAATCACCCCCCAATCAAAATTCCTTTCGTTGAAATTTGCCAGTAGAAGTGATTATTTAATCCTGAATTTCAAATAGCTTCTCTGAAAGGTGTTTCATAAAATTGAATGATTTTCCTCTGTTATCTGCTGCACAAGTGTGCGAAAATGGTTGTGGTTTTATCACGAATATCAACATGCATTTCTCCATAAAACCTTAGGAGCATATGAATAAGCCTAAAGTGTCATTCTTATTAATATTTTTTATACTTAGGCTAATACCTTTGAAATATTAGGGAGGTTAGAAAAAAAATAATTTAATAACACTTATGACATCAATGACCTTTGGTTTATTCACAGAATTATTAATAGCTTTCGTATTAATGCCACACATTTTTGAGGTTCTTCTGATCTTCATTTATATAACTTTCTCATAACAATTTTTATTTAGCGTATTTTGGGACCTTTACTGTGCAGCTCCAGAGAGGAGGGACACACATGAACACAGTTCTGAAGCAAAAGCGTTTCATGATTATGTGAGTTCAAAATGATTTTGTTATTTGTCTTTGTTGCCTAAAGTTTAAACTCATGAAAAAAGATTTCACTGTTTAATACTGGGTCTAGTTGCATAATGCTTCATATGGGATGTGGAATTGTGTTTCTGTTTTCATTTTAAAACTTCTTTCCACCCATATGAACATATTTCACTCCTTTGAATTTGTATCAGTCTGAACAGAGTTCAATGTGTAACTGTACATCGCACACAGGACATTTTGGATAAAAACTGACTCTATGAGTTGGAATTAGTCCTTCAACCATCAGAATCACAATTTCTATTATCAGTATCACATTCAATCAGTCCATCATGTTTGATCATAATCAGATTTGTGGAGTTTTAAAGCAGAGTTAATACAACATAGAGAGGATTCAATGTTCAAAATTTCTGGCATTTTCAAGGGTTTTATTTCAGATATTAAAATGCAGTAGAAGTAATGGCTGTACTTTTATTTGAAACAAAAAAGACCAACATGGCTATATTTGTAATTTGTAATATCCGAAGTGTCTTTGGCTCCCACCAAATTTCCATGGTCAAATTTTGTGAGCACTGTCCAGCAACTGGAGTAATAGTCAAAAAAAATGTCCATCCAGAGTGTGAGTGTTTTTTGCAATAAGCGATCAATTAGCGATCTGATAATTCTTACCCATAGCATACTTAACACTTCTTGAGACTGATAGATGTTGAAGAGATATTTTACTTCATAATATATTTAGATTTGGGATACAGAATGTAAAAAATAAAAATTAAAATATTCAATCAAAAACAAGACACCAATGCTCAAATATATATACAATGATGCGTTTTTTTAAAATCAGATTTTTTTTTTATGCTCAGTAGTTGTAGTAATCCTGACGACAATATAATCAACTCCATTTGTGCCCATTACATCTTATTTTTCTATTTTCCATTCAGAGTTCAGCAACAGCGCCATCACCTTTAAACCCAATGGGGGCGGATGGAATCAATACTCCAGGAATGCCTCCAAATTTTTTTCCTGTGAGTTGATCAAACTACTTTCATATTTCTCATATGGGATACAGACATACAGTTATTCATAAAGTGGCGCATGGCCTTGCGTCCGGTTACTGGACCAAGTCTGACATGGGAATATTTAATCGGGTAGTCATCCACGAAGCTTGACTTTGTTCATTCCACGAGTAAATATGTGGAAAAAAAATTGCATATTTTGTTATACATCCATTATTGCTGAAGTAGTCTTATCGTTTGAAAAACGTGTCAAACGTTTACCTTTCAAAATTTCACAGAAGAACATTTCGCAAGATTTAGACAAATTTACTTGATTAGTGTAATGGTGTATTCAGTTAGGTATATTTAGTTTGAGTCGTTATCTGAATTTTTATTTACTACAATGATTCGCACATATGATTACTCCTATTTTCCAACTAATTGGAGGAGTGAAAATGCATTACCAAGAATTTCAAATCTAATTGGACATTAATAAGTATAATAACAACACAGTGCATGCAAATTCAAAACATTTCCATTTTTACATTGCAAACTTATTATTAAGAAATAATAAAATAACTACCCATTTTTCATTCGGTTTTCACTTTTCTCAATAATTATGAAACAAATCATGTACAAACAAATAATAAATCGTCGAAATGTTTTTATATTATACATGCCATAGATTAATATTACACTCTGAGCTTGCTCGCACTTTTTAAATCATAACAAATATAATTTTCAACATTACTGCAATCATAGTAATTCAATTAATAAGATAAACCCAGCAAAAGTTAAATCACATTTTTGTGCTATGTGCACCAAAATTAATATCAGTTACATAAATACTGATTTGTTGATTTTTTTAGTCATCATCGTAATCCCAATGGATCAATACTTCAGTTCCACATTAAACTCACAAGCATCGTGCACTTTTCACTTGCTGCTTCCTCATGTATCACACTTATTTTATTCATTTCAGCCTGGTTCTGCTGCCTCGCCTTCACCTCACCATAATCCAAGTAATCCTATGATTCGACAGGTTAGTTTTGTAATTCTGAAAGCAAATAGAAGTTGTTTCCAATTTCTGAATATTCATCATTTTACAAATTATTACTATGTACAATTAAGAACATGCTGTAATTTTTTAATTTATTATTCACGCAACGCAACGTCAACAGATGCCATCCATTTTTGACATAGGGATATTAGGATATTGTAATGAACTGATTGAATTGACCATGGGTTTTGTTTGATTTTGGCTCATGCCTATGTTGGGTCCATCTGTTTTGCCATATAATGTTAGACTATCCACATCCTATCTACCCGCAATTTTGTGGAATGAGATGCTATTCTATGAAAAAAAAAATTTTTGGAAACATTCGTCTGGTTAAGTTGCTCAATTTAAAGTGATGTCATTCAGGTTTTCATTCAGGTTTTCTATTGCTTTACCGCCCTTGTATTATATCAGTGCTATAGGATAGCATGTCAGAGCATAGAAAGTGGGTTTTGAAGACAAGATTGGTGTTTCACACCAAAGACATCAACACTGATCTGGCTCCTTAGTCTAATCTCTATTATAATTTGACAATTAATATACTGCTGCTGATCTATGGTGCATGTGCATAAGAACATGGAATTAAACGATAACATTGATTCATAGGACGGGGACAGACTTTTACTTCAACTGCAGCCAGTAGTTGTTGCCAAAGAAATCTAATATTGGGAGGTTTGTTCCCTTCAGTAAACCTACAATTCCTAGACACCAACATATACATTAAAATTTGGATACAAAGTTGGCATACCGGATTTGAAAACAGTTTTCATAATAAGATTTATATTGATGCTTTAATCTATGATTCAGCACTTTATCAATACTTATATACGTTACTCCAGGAACAGATTGTGACTTCAAAACTCTATCAAAGTGAGAACTAGGTAGATTGATGTATTACCCCAAGAAATCTCAATTTATAATTTGAATTTCACTGCTGGGATGCATGATGTAGTGTAAATTTGATAAATTGACATCAACTCATGTCGCATCCATTTGCTTCGAAAATATCAAATCAACAATAAGGCTAAAAACCAATTGTGTAAATATCATATCGAATATCACACAAAAAATGAGAGAGATATCAGTAGAAGAGCAGAGAAGGTGTTTCATTTGGATTTTTGATTTGCAACTCCACATAGGATAATGCCACTGACATCTTCTTGTGTTTTGCGGAATGAATTAAATGCTTGCATACCTGTGTTGGCCATACCTCCAAGTTCTGGAGTAGATTAAAAACATTCCTTCCTTTGGGAAGCTATCTAGTTTATAATGCTGTTCTTGAGTCCAAAAGTGAAGCAACCAGAAACAAGCAACTGAAGGCTACCTTAACTGCAAATTGAATTCTATGTCAATTTTAGGTTTGTCTGTCCACTTTTTGTGTTCTGTGTTTTGTTTTTATGTCAATACCGAAATAAATGATTGATTGAAATAACTTTAAAGGTTTTGTGCACAAAATTCGAAGTTGAGAGCTAGAATCTCACTCAAGATTTTGAGTGCAAATAAAGTCTACATCACTCAACTTGGTTGAGGAAAATTTTACCTCCCGCTTCGAACTCTAATTTTGGTGCATCTTAAGTTTTTCTAAAAAAAAAAATCGATTTATATTATTGTCATAAAGTATGAGAGCTGGGGGGATTGAAGATTTCCACTCTCAACTATGGGCATTTTGAATATCTATCTACACTTTCCTGGTCCAAGACATAGAAACACTGTAATAAAATTGTTCATATCCTGGTGGTGGAGCAAGAGAGCTATAATTGGAGTTGGGGTGATTAAGACATTGAATCCACTAGATGGCACTGCTGATTAATTATCTTGAAGATAATAATGTCTGTGGAGTCATATCAGTTTGTCAGTCAAATCCAATAAGGTAATGAAAGGGAAAAATTTTCTTCATATGACCCACCCAAAAGGAATCAAGTTTTCTAAGTACCGGTAATATTATATGGCTCTCTTCACAGCGCTAGTAATATTGCATCTGATGAGTCCTAGTTAATGACGCTCTTAGCGTAAGACTCCACAGATTGAGGATCAAAGTTTTACAATTCGGTTTTGTTCTTCTGTGTGATTTTCATCACATATAAAGAAAAGATCATCATTTATCACCATTGGTGCATCATTCCTCGTTATGAACAAGCACTTGTCATATCACTGCTGATGTGCCAGAGGATAACTGAACTCATTGCTGGGGGGTTAGTGTGGTCTCCTTTGTGCTTATGAATTCATCCACCACCCAAGTTCATATGTCTGAAATGCCATACTGGTTAATTTTTTCATGGAATTCAAAACCAAAATTCCGGCGTCATAAGCTTTCACACTCCCATGATAAATATGAAATCTTTTGCATAGAAATTGCTTATAATATAAAAGTAGGTTCATAAAATATCTTACCATTGTTGACTTGTATCTGCATAGTTTTATATTCAATAGCTCTTTCAGACTTTTCACAATGAGATCTTGTTCACAGAGGTGATCCTATAGTGTTGAGGTTTCATGAATTTGGACTCCTGAAATTCTGAGTCCTGAAAATTATCATATTACAATATCACTATCTCTCCTAAATAGAAAATATTCGATATAATAATTCTGTCAGAGATATATTTATCACAAAATTGTCATTGCCATAAGATGACTTATATATAGCTGTTTGATTAATATAAACACTGTCTAATCCCGGTTTCGCGAAAATAGAGCTTGAAAAGAAACATGTATTTATTTATACCCACTGTTTACTGACAATCAACATACATGCAGTGTGTGCATGCTTATTTATAGGGGCGATCAATGTCATACTGTGCTCATGCTTACTGCTTGTTTTCACATAACTACGTTGGTTTTCTTTTCTTGGTATCGCGTATATGGTTATGATATACCATATACCTCCATAATAAAAGATTATATCTTTACATAGCACGATATGAAGTTAATATTTATAAAAGATAATATCTTTATAATACATGAGATATATAAATACAAAACAAGGCAACAGGACGTTAATTATTCATTTGACGTATGATTTCTTATCTACTTTGATTGGCACTAATGCATTCTTATGATTCTGAAGTGTGTAAGCTGAACATTGTACATATGATAAAATTCATTAGTCTGTGGGAATTTGTATCCTATAATATTGTTAGATTTATACGTGGAACAGTCATGTGTTATCTGAAAATGACCTATTAACTCTTCAAAATCTTCGCAAATCATTACGATACCTTGAAAATTTTACTACCGGTAATTATGCAAAAAGTGACGAATAGTGAATATTCTCTAGGTTTATAAAATGTAATATTAGATAGAATTGTTTTATGAGTCCTATTCATGATTGATTCGAAAAACTTGTTAATGCAGAAGAGCGTTTTTTGTGGTTTGAACACCGAAGGGCCCAATTCTGTATTCAAAGATTCACACTCGGTATTGATTTAATATCGCAATACCTGGCCAAGGCAAGCGAAATATTTTGAAAATATGAGTTGTTGATAACTGATGTGATGAATAGAGAAAATGGTTTATTGATAATAAACAACATCTGTATTCCACACAACCCGTTTTTGGACACGAACTGGACCTAATGGATCTTTTTTTATTTTGTTGTTAATCGTCATATTAGTACCGTATTTCTTTTCTTCTTCGTGTTGTGAAAAATCGGTTTTCTCATCAACTACTGGGCCTATTGCTTCGAATTTTTCAGTGGTTTAAGATTGTATTTTTCGCTGGAAGGCTATTCTATTTCAAAAGAAGGCTATTATTTATTTCACAAATGTCTGTGGCCGCCATGGGATTCGTTTTTTGTGTGCGATGACGTCATCAAAATTAAAAATTGCGCTAATTGTGGCGCTTCTGCGTAAGTTCAAATCTACGGCTCAGCTGCGATACAGTATCGATTGGCTACTGTGACAGATTGTATACCTAATACACACTTCATATCGTTATATTTAAGCATCACTCTCCCTCTTGTTTAAATTGACTATAGTATACCCTTTTTTTCTTGACAGTTTATTTCTCAGATAGGCTTATCTTTTGGGGGTTGTGACTTGCAACTAAGTAGTAGCAGCAAGTCTGTCCTAAAAGGTAAGGGTACAAATAATTCAATAATTGGTAATTTCATTGAGAGCTTACTACGACCTCTATTACAGCTATTTTTTTCTTCCATTATTTTATTTCAATTTTATTAATACCTGATTTTCATGACTTCTTTTTTTCTTTTCAGTCATTCATGTCATCAAGGTATCCACCAGGCGGCCCAAGAGGAATGCAGGTCAGCTGAAATTTGAATAAATTATTTGTGAATAAGAAACTTTACTGCAAAACTTGGGATAATTTATGAATTTCTATTTTTCTATAGTTGTTTCAAGATTACAAACCACCCCTGAAATAGTAATTCAATTTTTAAAATATTCTGTTTGATTCAGGGACCTGGACCTCACCAACCAATGTTACAGGGAATGGACAGACAAAGTGAGTTTTGTTTTCACTATTTATATAGAGGTAACAATTTTTGCCTCTGTTCTCTATACATTTATTTTTAAATAATACTGTGGTCATTAATACGTTTCCAGAAGATGGATTGGATGATATAAAATTCATTACTTTTGTAAAACAATCTGATATTGCTAGGCAACTGACATAACATAAATAAAACTCCTAATTTTAAGGAACTACTGAACCTACCTATTTCTTTTACATATGCTTTCAATAAATTGATTTTGAGTAAAGTTTCATACAAGTTATAGTACACTCGTGTCGTGTCATGTCGCGATCCTTTTTAGCAACTGGATAAACTACTGATTAGGGCAAATTTATTCGGAGATATGATAAACACGGACAGCATGCATGCAAAGAAAACAATTTTCGGAGCCCGTATTTCTCCTATTTTAAGTGATTTGAGACATTTTGTTGCATTGTACTATTCTGGGCAGCTAAAAATTTAGTATTATAAAGTTCACAGTTAGTGAAGAAAAGTCGTTTGGAGGAAATTATGCTTAGATCAAGTAAGATATTTTCGAAAAATTTGTTGATGTGGAATAACAGAAGAGAATTGATCGCGTGCATAGTTTATAAAGGACATATGAACCGAATATGCAATTGAATATATGTAGAGTGCATCTCCTTGTGTCATACATTGTATCATCATGAACATTGAATTAATGAATGTCTCAGGCTCTCGGCAAATGTTTGTATATTTATTTCGTATCACTTTCAGGAAGTTTATAGCAGTAATAAATATAAGCTGAGTGTATGAATACTATTTATTGATGGCTTCAATATTATGAAAGCAAGTTTGATTAGTTAGAGTCGGAGATGCGCTCTTTCAAGTGGATTATGATCCTTATCTCAGCCCAAACTTGTTATAGTAGACTAAATTCAAAAAGTTAATGTATATTGTATTGATTCAAGTTTCTTTCTACATTCGGTACTTCCGTAGTGTGTGTACCAGGTTAGGGCATAATTTTATTCCAATTTTCCTCATTTTAGTTCTATTATGAGTTCGGGGACTGTCTGTGTTAGCCAAGTAAATATACCCTCTGCCCAGAGGTTTCAGTCCCTTTACACAAACTTCTGCAGCGGCAAACAAGCACACATTGGATGTCAGCGCTTTGATGAAGGGAGACTGATTGATTCCACTGAAGTGGAGTCTAATGATCCAAATCCATCATTCACTACTCACTTTGTTCGTTTTATATCAATGTTGTCAAAACCTATGACTGCTACCATGAAGATCGTTACAGATCATGCAATGGGGAATTTTGACAACACGAAAAAAACATTTTTTGATTAGGAATATACCAGTACTCAATATTTGATATACCGTAAGTCAATTGCTGTCAGAAATTGGGATTTGGCCTAAATTATCCATTCTACAAACTCTTTCAATAATTTATGCAAATTTAAAAACAATTTTTGAGCAAGTTGGTATGTAAAAAATATGCCGTCCTAATCGACAAAGGATGTTCCAGACAAAAAGTTGATGGAATATAAAGATAGATAGGATACCTTGAAATAGCTGTGTTAAAGGAGTATAAATTTAACGTACCCCATTTAATGGGTTTTGTAGCCTGAAGAATCTTTTTTTTTTTTTTTCATCTTTGTCATAAGATACTATCTGAACAAAAAAAGGGAAAGGACATCATAGGGTTATTAATTTCAATCAAATGGATGAGATAGAAGTAGAGAACATTACATGTTGTTATAGAGCATTCTTGTTGACTTAGAATTGTTAGGTTGTAAGTAAATTTTGGTTAGATCATCAAAACTGACATTGATCAACCCACTTTGCATTTGTTTGGTTCATTTTCTTGCATCTGAAGGCTAAAATAATTCGTGTGAATGTCGGTTTATACCTTTCATTGTATAACGACACTAAGCCACTGGGAGAATAAATATTTTTATCGGGATTTCGATTTTATTAATTCGAAGGGTATGGTCATGAAGCGTTCTGAATCGAGCATGTAATACGGTATAGCGAAAAATTCTCAAATTTAATGTGATCTGATCGAATGAATAGACCGTAAAATATATATCCACAATGGCGCATATGCGGAATTTTCACCAATTTCCAAAAATATTTTACATCACACGATTGCCTTATCATCGACCGAAATGACAACACAGACTGTGTGTGTGTTATAGCAATTGATAAGATTTTGCTTGCTGAGCACAAACTAAAGAGAATAAAACGACATCAGCCGATAAAATACCTTTATACAAACTAAGCTGAGTATCCATTTGTCATCTTTCGACAAGCACAATTCTTATTGTGATGGTCGGACTCAGGATAGGTCGATCTCAAAATAGCAATGAGCGGCATCGTCAAAGGTAATTAATATTCTAGGAGCCTACTCGAAATTTAATTATAAGAGCTGTTGAAATATATTGATAGGCGGAACTCCGGTACAAAGAGACTGAAATGCCGACAAGAAAACGGATTTTGTCATCTGTTGCCATCAGCATCAGCATATATGCCTACATGCATATACACGCGTTTGCATATTTGGAAAGATTTATATATATAATAGGATATTTACACGTGGAAATAAAATCCATAAAATATGAAACAAATTAACTTTAAAATTAGACAAACAGTTACACTACATCTACATGTTGAGAAGATTCGCTTAAATTGAAAACGTATACCCGTCGACTCGGATCGCGTTCGATGCTTTTATGTCGAGGGTACAATTCGTTATACTGTACCGTTCCTAATAAGTTATGTTGAACCAAAACAGTTCATCGCATATTATAGTCCAACGTTTTCTACGGTATTTTCTAATAATACGCATTTATGCGCGATATGGGATTTCAGCGACATTTTTTAAAATACAGACACATTCGTGCTTCTTGGGTAATTTTATATAATTATTGGATTTCTGCTTAAATTCGGACTATCTGTACTTTGACAATCTTGCGGTGTTCAGAAGAGGAAGATAATACTATACTGTTTTTGCCATATTATAGCTCAATCCGTTGACCAATATTGTTTATAATAGCATAGCAATTCTCAGCCTCGTTCGAATGCTAACCGTCAAAAACACTGTATATCGCCGTTTCAAAATACCGTATATACATACATTTTTAAAATACAGACACATTCGTGCTTCTTGGGTAATTTTATATAATTATGGGATTTCTGCTTAAATTCGGACTATCTGTACTTTGACAATCTTGCGGTGTTCAGAAGAGGAAGATAATACTGTTTTCGCCATATTATAGCTCAATCCGTTGACCAATATTGTTTATAATAACACAGCAATTCTCAACCTCGTTCGAATGCTAACCATCAAAAACACTGTATATCGTCGTTTCAAGATACTGTATATACATCAAAATCTATATTGAATGATTTACAATTACCTCAGTTGAGCAGCTGACATTTTTACTGTGGCTCTGAGGATGGTTTGTCTGCCGATGACTTGCGCTTTCATGAACCGCAAGACATAAATGTAGGATATTCTATTCTAAAAACGCCAGTCTGTCGTTTCTGGTTTACTTGTATCCATTAAATATCAAGTAGGCCCATATGTTATGCTTTCATAATGAGCTTTGTTTAAATAAGGTTTAAACACGAAAGCATACGGCGCTGTTGGAGTAAAATAATCTATTAAATAAAATGGATGTAATTTTTGTCTTTGTTGAAAGAACATTGTTTTTTTGTTTATCCTAGAAAATTTTAACTAATACTATCAAATGAAAACACTTCGCATCGTAGTTAGACAAAGTTGAAAAATTCAGACAAATTCATATAATCCCGACTACGAAGACGTCAAGCTCAAATTCATGGTGAGGCATCGCAAATGCGCACGTTTCGAACGGCGGTTCCATCAGGACAATGTGTATTTTGATGGAAAAATTGATCAACTTAACTTAGTCTTCCAGCATACATTTTTGGGCCTGGTGCTGTCTGGTTATCAGGACGTAATACAGTCAAGTTATATATTTAGAAACATAGCCTAAAAACTAAAAATACATGAAATAAAGTTTTCTAAAATCTCGCGTGAGAAAAAGAACGTCTTTTTCCCACTGCGTTCCTTTAATCGAACTGAGTTATGGCCAGTGTCGGCATTTGTTTGAACAGGCTAAACGTTTTGATTAATCGTTTTTACCACTTTTGCAAAACGTATCGCCACATATTGTTTTCAAAAATATTAGTTATTGGACGCTTCAGATTCGCGGGTGAGTCCGCGTTCACTTATTACGACATATACCACATAACAAATTATTTAGACATAAGTAGAGTGCTTACAAATTTGTTACTACCTCTTGTATTTATTCTAAAAACACTAAATATCAATTTGGTTGGTTGTAGCTTTCCGAGATTTTGTTGTTACAGCAAATGTGCGATACCGCGCAAACTTTATCGCTCATATTTCACAGCCATATCCATGTGAAGCCAGAATGTTTTCTTTATTCAGTCACCCATGACATTCTGTCTCCGAGATTATTTTCACACAAAACACTGACATTGAAATTTCTAAAAGTTCATTCAGTAATTGCATATTCTATAAAACACGATTAGTCTATGGTTCTAAACCACTAATTCTGCCTGATTTTCAGATTATACGGGTATTAGGGTTGGTAAACATCACAATATTCCAGAAATTATAGAAAATAAGTATTATCCACGCGGGACAAAACAAGTGTCCGTAGTTATAGTGACATACCTATTCTGAGAAAATATCAACACAGCTCTGTAAAACCACATTAAAAATTATAGCTGTTATTAGCAGACTATTGTACAGCGAATCTGCTTGAAATCGTGCTTTGCGCATCGATGTTCGGAGATATTGCCTCAATCTATGGTTAGTCAATCAACCAAGCCAGGTCCATTATCTGACCTAGAGTTTTAACTTGTTGCTAAGACCACATAATACTGGAAATATTCCAAACACTTTCATAAGAAAACGCTTCAAACTTCTCATTACGATTATCGCAAAATGATTGTCTGACAGTTATTATTTGCATTCATCCTTGCAGTAACCCATATTTTAGTTTAAATTGGCATAACGGTTGTTTGAAATAACATACATGGTGGCCAGAAAAAACAAAAGCCAGGTCATTTGGAACGTATTCTAAAGAGAACATAACTTTTGTACAAACTGTTTTCGATTACTGAAACTTTTGGGTATAATCGTACACAACCAGCAGTTCAAGTGTTTCCTCGATTTCATGGAAAAAGTATGTAATTAATGGGTTTCGTTTTTTGGGGTCAGCTTTTGATAGTGAAATGAAAATACGTGTTGTAGCCCACTCTCCACAGCGCGATAATTACATCAAAATTCCTATTATCACCAAATAAACACTTATACTTATTCAAGGGTATGTATACTCGATGACCAAGCATTTTCGACGCCTTTGAAATCTTGTTTGGTTAATTTGTCACTCCTTCTCATTCTTAGAGGTTTTGCTATTATTAGTACGAAGTCAGATGGCCCTCATTTGCGTAATCTATGTACAGTACTGTAAACTTTATTATAAGTAATATTGGCAATTCAGTTATCGCCCCTAAAAAATCAGTTTTAGATTTCAATTTGTGTACTTACTGTAACGAAATAAGTAAATTCGTCAGTAGGCTACTTATAGATAGTATTCTATATCAACGTAGAACTCACCCGAGCGTTCTCTTCCAGTTTATTATCACAATCCTGTCAAATATCGGACCTCGGTGTATCTACCATTTCTTGCCGGTTTGTAGTCGCATTTTTCCGCTGACCGCTCACTTATTTCCTGTCTTCAAAATGCCAACCTTCGACAGTAGTTTATTTCACATTTCTTAAATCCATGTTATCAAGTAGGTTCCTTCACAATGTTCAACAGATATAAATTTTATAGTTAAGGTGGCGTTCGAATAAAAATACAAATTATTGAAATTGCAGCTTAAATGCGTGAAAGAAAATTGAGATAACCATTTGTCTCAGTTTTTTTTTTCAAAGACAACTCAAGTAACCATGGGCTGGATACACCCGTGAGATACGCTCAGTTGCAGTTCTCTGAGACACTTCACATTCTTTCTAACCAGTTTATTCCTCTCCCAAAATACCGCATTCAAACTACCTTTGTGGATCCTTAAAAAATAATACTAATCATTGAAAATGTCCTCTCTTATGACGGCCATAAAAATCAATTTTATCCAAATTTCACATTCATATTAGCTTCCTGTTTTATAGTAGCCATACTACTGTCAAAATTTCTCGAAACACACAACAGCCGTTCGCTACCTCGCGCCATATCGAATGATTTACGGTCAATGTAAGACACGAGGTCTCTCGATGGAAGCCGATCTTCGACCCGCCCTGCGCAATCATTTACACATTAGCGGTTCTTTGTGGCTATTCATCACCTATAATCATCGTCACGACGCCAGGGGAAATGACGTTATCGAGATGATAAATTTTATATTTTATGATTGATTTATTTTGAACATAATACAATGGTGTTATTAGTTCGATATAACCGACTTTTGTGTGCAATGAAAATTAAAATTTTGCTTAAAATTCAAGGTCAGGGATTACTTACCGTAGTTGGCGCTTTCGTGGTCATCATTGGTCTCGACTTTTCAATTGGACAGCTTTATGACGAAAGGGCGAATGTGAAAAAATAAAAAAATATTTGAAAACACCATAGGGAAATATGTATCTTCTAAGCTGGTAGTTAATCCTAGTTTGAAGCTTATTAAAATATGAAGTTACAAGAGTTTGAAACTCAATATACCTTTTCCTCATTTTCACAAAACAGCATTTTTAATTTCGCTCCTTTGGGTTATAGCGCCGATACAAGACCTCGGCCATTGTTCAATGACTAAATTCTAAATTGCTTTCTTGACCCGATTCGATAATGCCCCTTCGAATATTCACAATGAGAAATAATAGGCTATTCTTTATGTAATTATTTGCAATATCCGTTCATTGTAAACCGAAGCAATATGTTGCGTATTCAATCATTTCATCTAAAACTACGTTTCCCAAACGGGGAGCGATTTTGTTTTGTCGTCGTTGTGTTTGCTATCGTATTACTAATATTCTTTATTATTAGTTTAATACTTATTTATACACACATTATGAGGTACTTAAACTATACAAAGGCGGTAGTGCGACTTGAACATAACACTAACCTAAGGAGGCAGTGAAGATTGAATAAATAAAGAACTTTTTAGGCATTGTAATAGAAGAATAGAGATTTCAAAAATCAAAAAAAACAAAGAGAAGGCGGGATTAAACGAAAAAGGTTGGAAACCACTGATTTAAAAGCTTTGACATAAAGAATTTATTATGCCTGTCAACTCTGGGCTGAACGTCAAACAAGTTATTGTGCTCGAATTAGAGAGTTAAACCACCCCCTTTGATTGATAACATCGAAATATTACCTCGTTTATTTATTACTTATCAACGACCTCAAGGTTATCTCGTAGATAGATTGTAAATTAATGTCCTGTTGCATGTATACATACGCACACGAAGATGTTGTCATGCTTTTCATACATAACACGATTTCAACATTTATCAGTGTGTTTTGCCCTCCCGTCCGTCAGATCGTGTTTGCGCTTCGGCCACGTTGACTTTAAATGCGAAATTTTATAATTATAGCATGCTGAAGGAGTTTTACGTTGCTAACATTTCCCCATTAGAACACTACTACGTTAAAAAGCAAGGACCATACATACGCTATATGAACGTTTACAATTTTGTAGAAATCCATAAAATTGTTTATGAATTGAAAAAATTGAAATATTTCAAAACAAAAATATCACCAAGTTTGCGCCAGTAATACAGACGTCGAGAGACAGGTGCTCTTGACTCTGGGGCAAAATTAACTTTTGTTGGTACTCGGCGAAATATACATTCGAATGAGGAAACGAAGTTTGATTTACATGCTTGAATGCTTAGTTAGTACAAGTTTCTTACGTGATCATTATAACCAGTAATACGAACTCAAATGCGTCCGTTTAAAATCATGTTATGGTAACAAATAAAACGATTTTAAATGAATTTCATTGATGTAAGTTAATTGTGTTGGTTTTTGCGTGGTGTTAATATACAAGGACAAAGTTTTCATATTTTCAACGAAATATCTATATCTTTCAATTTCTTTCAGAACCTGTCAAATATCACCAATTTTTTCAAACGTGCATTCTGAACAGCAATTCGTTAGTGCTTTTCTGCACTCGTCCGATTACTGCTCATAAACTTCAATTATTGTTCATGATTTTATTACAACCCGGCCCGATCCACGTCAGGCTGTCACAATTTTTATTTCGGCTATTTCTATGATGGATGGCTATTTATTTCCCGTCTTATTGCTTACTGAAGTCAGCAGAATGGCGCGAGAAAGGTTCTTAAACTTATTACTAAACCAGAAGCAACTATGCTAAGGTGAAGGTAAGCAAGCACGGGTAATTTCATATACCCCTTTGAAGGGCCGTAGCCGGGGGAAGGGTTCGGTTGTAAACCCAGCACTAGAACATGCATCCTATTCATTATGGCAAATTTGACTTCAAAGAACAATCCGCAATTTGCAAAGAGCATTTGATTGATGCATTACTGACAGTAGTCCAACAATCATATTCGTCTCGTAATAAAATCCGTACTCAGCTATGTTTTGAGCGTCACGTACAATAACTTTCAATCAATCGTCATCCGCAACCAAGTTGACGATAGATCGATTTTGCATTTTTGCTACGGGGTTACAGACACAAATCAACTCCGAAGAATAAATCCTACACACGGCAGAAAAATCACGTCGACTTATATTGATATGCAGTTATTTATGGTAACGACATCGGCGTGATGATGTCTTTTACGTAAACGTGTCATTTTGCCAACGCGAATATTTATCTGTTTATTTGACTTGCGATTTCGCAACCTTTGCTGCGCCACCTGCCTTATTATACACACAGTTCGGTAGATGCGTACACAGCTAACATATCTTTCCATGTTGTTATACCACATAGCCAAAATCTTTCACGAAATTGAATAAAACCTGTGTAATCGCTATCTGGCTACACAAAATGCTTATTTCGCTTGTACAATGATAATTTTGTATATATGGACTCTTCTTGAAAATACGATTTCGGCGTCTATGAATTTAAACTGTACGAAAGTGGTTTCTTGCAAATTAAATACATATTCCTTTCCCTGACAAACTGCCAAATATTAGTCTTGATGCTGCTGTTTTTCTACCTTATTTATATAGTCATAGCAATATATATCACCTGATTAACTACCTGTTATTCTCGTAGCAAAAATTAATTCCCTTCACTATAGTCAAGGCATACCAATGTTAAAATAGCATTTGGTAGGTAGTTTACGTAAACCCTATTGCCCAGATTAAAACAACAGCATTTTTAGTGCTGATTACATATACGCCAAAGCGCAGTTCTACCGGAAATCTGTAAAATCGTTATTGTAAAAATAGTCGAAAATTGTGAATAACGTCGAGTCTTTACAGTTACGGTAATATTGCTGTACAATCAAGATAGTTCGAGTTTTTCTCTGCTTACATGCGTGAAAAAATGATCCCTTGATACCGCGCAAAAATTTGAATCGACCGGGTCTCGTTTATCTGAAAATATCTCATTCCCGTGTATGGTCGATCTCTGCCTTTTCTTCATTTTTATCATGAATTTTCATTCTCATTTTAATCAGAAGGTAAACATTTGAAATTTATAATGTAATTTCCCCAATGAATAGCGTGGATCTTCAAAAATAATATTAATTTTGGAGTGACGTAAAAGGACGACTATGTGTATACGCCGTTCTCGATAGGATTACACCGTATAGATTTATAAAATGAATTCGGTAACAACAAGAACGGTCTTGAGTTTACACAGATGTTTCGAACTACATTTTTTACGGCATGTATTTCTGAATTTATTATCATTATCTGCCTAAAACCAATCCCAAATCAGTCGAGTAAAAAAAAATTGTTTACAAATTGTTTCATTTCGCGCAGGGTGAAATACTAATATATATGCAACAAAGGCTTTTCATAAATTTACATAATTTTAATATTTAGAACTCTCGCTCCGAACAAAGCTCCAGACTGGCAGCTACATATACGCACACAGGCCATATATTGTCTTGAAATGGTATATACTTTTCCGATCATCTTGCAATTTTGATGAAAATTTCTATACATAGCTGCAATCAAGTAGATAAATTGACTTCGCTCTCGCGGCCTTTACATTTCAGACGGAGTAAATTGTATACTTAGTTTTACATTCATATACATTTCGATATATAGGGCGATGCCAAAATCAGATTCATTGAATTTTTTAAAGTCCTTCCATGAAAATGAAGAAGATTTATTTAACAATTGAAATTTTGTTTGTATATGTTTATACCAAAAAGTTTCGGTATTCAGGACGTTTCGCACAAAAGTTCTATCTAGAATACATTCCAAATGACCTGGGTTTTGCTTATTGCGTCATCCTTTGTTTTCAGAACTGCAATCAGACTAAAAAAACTGATATTGGTCATAATAAATATCGACGTATAGGATTCTTTATCACTACTCGCTATCCGCTTCTTTTCAATCATTCTAACGCTAAGCCCGATATTAAAATTCCACATTTCAAACTATGACACTTGAAGAATCGCTCGACGCGGACCTTATTAAAGTCTTCATTATATACCGAATTTGCTGAAATTTGAGGCCTTCCTAAATCCCCTTTCACTGACGTACAATGCCATTATATCTTCCCCTCATCCCGTATCATTAGTGCTTGCTAATAGACTTACACTCGAGATATGTTTATCCAAGACTGACAAACACGATTATCGAGCGTTTTTCATCTATTAATAAGCCCTGGCGTATTATCCCATCTATACGATTACCCCAAGTAAACAAACGTTGCCCAAACTATTAAAATAATATGTAAATTAATAACAATTTTGAAGTATGTTTGGGCACTTCTGAATTCATTTTACTATATATCATAATATTGAGAGTCATATTCTACTTTTATTACAAATGCCCATGATCGAATATTTAAAGTTATTACATTATTTTCCCTGAGCTCATGGGAGATTGAGATGTCATCAGCAAAATAACTTAATATGACAATCAATTTTTGGAATTCTATTTATTATAAAATAATATATAAATTTGTTGCAAACGTGGTAATTTTCTCTAGTAAATAAATCTCTATGATACATTACACAAACAAATTATTTTTGTTATGTTGTCACTCAAAACAAGGCACTTTATAAGGAGTCACCAATCATAGACAATATTCTCAAATTAAAATCTCCTGAATAAGTCAAAAATTTTTTCATAGCTTATGAATTTATGATGATGCTTACCCAAAGATTTTGTCAAGTCTCCTCTATTCACTTTTAAAAACTAATTTTTTTACAAACGAAACTCTGATATGTTACACGAAGAATTTGTTTTTTATGACGATTTCACTCAAAACAAGTCTTTATATAAGCAGTCATTGATATATAGACAATATTATCAAATTCAAAAGCTTTTTGAAAAAAAACAAAGGTTGACTATTGATATTTCTGGCTCACTAAAAATATAATGGAAGAAGTGAATGTCCTAAAGCTACATTGTTTGTTTGCTTTTTAACCCCTTTTATGTTGGATGTGAGTTTGATGCTGTTGTTTCCATTGCTGATATCCAACTGTCCCAACACTCGCACGAAAACTGTTGTGTAAATCACTTCCAAGGAAAAAAAGTATGCTAAAAATTTGAGAAATATTTTGGGAACAATCGTTTGTTTTCTTGCATTTTTACTTTTTTTGTGCCATAGTTGACTGCAGTGTTGAACAAAATGCTCAATTTCCTTTCTGAATTTATATATAGCGTTCCAAGTTCAATCACTAATCTCTCTCTTTTTCAGGTCAGTTAATGAACATGCACAGGATGTCACATCCTCGTGGATTACCAGGTCCTATGAATCCAGGCTGGAACCCTTCATCAGACCCTTCATATCAGGTATATTATTTTAATATGTACTGATTTTTTTAATATTCGTTCAATATTAAAAAAATCAGACAAGAGTTTCTATTTGATGGTACAAACAAAAAAAAATTTATTTTGAATTTATGGATTTTTTGTATTAATATTTTTAAATTTACTGTATGCATTTATGCTGGTAAATCTGTATGTATATAATGCAAGGATGATATAGCAACAGTGAAGAAGTATTCCAAATGATTTAGGGATTCTTGCTGCTTCTTCAGACAAACATATTTCTAACTAGGAAAGCCAAATTTTCGTCAGACGAGACAAGTGCAGCAAAAGTTGTGAATCACAATTTTTTGTAATATTGTGTTATATTTTGACGATACTTTGTTTCAGTCAATGCCGCCATATGGTCAATTGCATCGAATACCGAATAATTCAATGTCAGGTCCTGGAATGCCTTTATCATTGTAAGTATAAGCTTATTTATGGTTAGTTGTTCTTTTGCAATAATGTGATAATATTGAGATTTTCTTGGATTGGTGCAATATTATGAATTGTAATATTAGAAGATGTTCACTGTATAAATAATGATTTTTTTCAGTTGTCATTTAATGATGAGTTCGTTCAGTTATTTGACATATCATGTTCGGTTTTTCAAGTCCAATATAACCCATTTCATTTGCCAATGTATTTCATCCTATTTGTTTTGGGCAACACCCATTACTATATTTTGACAATTTACATGTTTCCAAGGTTTCAGAAAGAATTTTTTAGATTGTTGCTACAACATCACACAGATAAATTAGTTTGTTTAATATATAAACAATTCCAAACAATGCATAAGGCTTTTGTTACGTATGACAGCAGTTCCTAAAAGGGGCGCCGCGGTGCGATTTGCTAAGGTGCCATGAAAATTAACAGAATTCTGTTAAACATCACTATTCATTTACCTTTTATGTTGATTTCTATCCGTGATTTTAGGAATAATTTAAAATATTTTCATTTGACTTTATTATCTATGATAGAACAAAAAAAATAGTAAAGTCTGACTGAATAAAATAGAGAATACTAATTTAAACAATGTTTATCTCAATTATTCTGCATAGACAAATTTAATTTCTATGAATTTACGATAGTCTTGAATTTCATTTCTGAGTAGAATTGATAATTTATATTCGAAAAGATTATTTAAGGATGTATTCGCAATACTAACTTATTCAGTTTCGGCATTCCATGGGCCCTCACGTTTTGTAAACATGCTGGATCTTAGCAGTATGCTTGAATTAATGGTTGTGAATACTGTGCCAAAACAAATAAAAAGTGATGTTTGGAGTTTATATCACGCTTCTAATGGTGGGAATCGAATTCAAAATTTATCAGGGAAACCAAAAGTAATCTGGTTTTAAATTGTATCCAGACTTCGCAAGTCTGGATTGTACAGAATAATTTAATTTTATGGTTATATTTGAATTATTCTTGGCTTAACTAAAACTCAATTTTCACAGACCCGGTCGACAGTGGCCTAACCCTACAGGATCAACGGTAAATACTTTTATTTAACTCTTCAATATAATCTTCGATTCAAATTAACAAATAATGCGTATCTGGCGTTTTTATACTACTTTTTATTATGTACTAGCTACTATACCTGATTGTTCTTCCAGTTTTTCAGATTACTTTATATTATTTTGAATTTTTGATACTAATTTTATGCTTTTATCATGGTAGATGGTCTACACTACGGAACCATGTTCTTCTCCCCCTTCAAGTTATGTACGTTATCACTGCTTAGTCTTCAGAACTTTTTTGTCTGGTTCAAATCAATGTTATATGGCTGTTATTGTTGAAAATTTAGTGTATTCAAAGGAATTTAGAATTGTTTTTCCAAATTTTAAGACAGTCTGACTTAACAATACTTATCGAATTATGTTGTTTTTGCTTTGCGATCACGATTTTTGTCAAATTTTGCCAGTTTATAGATGTACGAGGAGATGTACTCAACGTCTGTTGTGTATAATCTGGATAAATTACTAATTAAAATATATTAAAATTTCATTCCATATCTAACCAGTATAAACTGTTTTAAGTACAAATAAATTCCTAATAGGTTTTTAAAAGTCACAAATTCCTGGTTTTGTTATAATTAATTGATTTGAACTGACGAAATAGTTCTGAAATGTGCAGAGTCTGTAGCACTGTGTGCAGTGTGTTGCCATCAGTGTGCAAGCAAAGCATTGATGTTTTGTTTTATTCACACATTTTAGTTTGCTTAAAGCTATTAAAAAAATTTTAAATTTGCTTTTTAGTTTCAATGCTTTTATGTGTATGTCATTGGCACGCGATATAATATTTTTACACCTACTAATATCAGAAAAGTTATTTTAGCTTTTTAAGTCTTTTGGACTGTTTCATTCTTTGACTCTAGAAGTATTACATGTACAAGCAACCAAGGCAAATTACTATTGAAGCACTGGCAACTAACAATTTTTTTTATTCCAATCAACAATATTATATCTTTTAGTGTCAATATTAACATCAAAATTCTATCCAATTTCCATCTAACTTAGTCAAATCGATAGTACTTCATAAAAACGAAACTGCCTTTTCATGTTGTTTTAAACTTCAGATATATATTTTCACCTTTACGAAAACAATAAATATTAACTAATACTCTCGATACTAACAGATAAATCATTTTATGTTGTACTAGTTGTCTTTTCTGTTTCTAATGCCCCAATACCGGTACCAGCATAATCAGTCTAATCAGAATCATCACACATTAACCAGAAATCTAATTAAAAAAATAGATGGATTTGACACACAAGTGGCATTGGTGTGCGTTAAAAGATTTTATAAAATTCAAATCTCCCCCCAAAACAAACAAAAATGAAATTTAAACAACCACATTTTTAAACCACTAGTTCATGGTTGAACGTCATATGAATGTGGGCCTGAAAATTATAAAAAAAAAACAGTAAAATTAGGGGCGAAATATGGGGCCCTGTTGGGCGTAGGTAAAATAGAAAAAGTAATAGCGCTTCCTAGGGACGTTTTTAAGTATTGAATTTTTTTTATTAAATAACAACTAACAATAGGTTCATCTCTTAAATATTGTCAAATGGTATTTCTTTTTTTTGATTTACCACCCCAATAATATTAATCACCAATACCAACTGTAGGCATTTTTCAGGTGGTGCAATTATTTTTAACTTCACTCAACAAATAACACATATGGCATTGAATTTTGTTCAATTCTAACATTTTTATCATCGTTTCGTATAATCTGCTTCCGCTGCACACGTACAAGCTTTTTATTGCTTCTGCTATATCATGCTTTTTATAATTTGCACTTCATTGCTGTTTAATGTGATGAATTTCATGAGAAAATATTACAGTGAATTGATATGTTATATTTACTGTTTTTTTTTCATATTTTCAGGGTCCTCCTGTGGGACAACCCGGCACTCCTATCATGCATCCCAGTCCACAAGGTGAGGTTTGAGTTTTTTGCTATTGATATGTTGAATATGAGTGTGTGTGATGATTAGGCTAAATAGGGAATCCTTAATAAATTTTTTGCCCTAATTATGGCTGCCTAGAGACTGTGATGACTGCACATAAATGTTAAATTATTTGTCATTTCTTAGGCTTGTTGCGTATCATGCCATCATTTACTTATTCATAAATAATACTATCGCATTTATCATTTTAAAATAACAGAAGACAGTAAAATCTTTTGCTTCATCATTGATTGTTTATATTATAATAGATATAGATCAAAAATATTCATGTAGACTTGTTTTTATTTCAAAGTATGATTCGATTTGTTATGAAGCGCTTGAAACTATGTTTTTCTGTTACATCAAGTTATTCCTCATTCCAAGGTTTTCGATACGAAAAGAGCGAATGTTGAAATAAAAATTTTTTTGCAAATGTTACAAAGAAATAGGTACTCTTTGTGAAGCTATATTCACCGAAATCTTCCAATGAAAAATTACTGCATTTTAAAAATCAAAAATATACTTTTTAGTGATAATATATACTCAAAACAGCTATTTCAGGATTCGTCCTTTTTGGGTTATAGCCCTCGATTCATAAATAAATATTTTCAGATATTTTAGCTTTATTGTTTATATGGATAACCCTAGTTACACAGAAAATATATTAACACTTAACAGTACACTTGTTCATTGTTTCATACTGATTTTTCACTGTTCAACAATTAATACACACAATTATTTTCCTTTCTGCATAGTATGTACATACATTCAATTCTAGGTCCTCCGTCTCGACTGCCAATGCACGGCGCTGGCCCAGGTACACCTCACCCTCACCCCCAGAATTTTCATAACACAAAGCAAAGAGGTGATTTGCTTGCGGTTAATTCAGCAACCCCAATAATTAATCATGTGTGTTGTTACTTACAGCTTGGTTTGATTTTCAATACTTGAACATTTGACCTTGTCATGCTTGGCTAAACATAGAGAAGATAAATATTGTTAAAATTGAATCTTAAATTCTCAATTTTCATTCAAATCTCGCGGCGGCAGTTGGTTACCAGTTCCATACCAGTCAGTATGGAATTAGATAGGTATTTATTTGTTTGAGATGATGACGAATTGGCGAAACCGACCAGCAGTTACATCAACCACCCGGTGGTGACTAGGAATCCAGCAATCCTCTTACACATAATTATCCTCCACGGGATTTGAATCTGTGAACCCACACAGGGTGATCAGAGGTGTTATGGCAAATGTGTTTTAACGCTTAGTACAGTGCGTCAAACGCCATGGCCATGGATCCCTATTCAACCATGTTTCATACTTGAGGCTTGGAAACTTGATTTTTGTATTTTCTGTGATTCATGGTCGGTAAATGCGATAATTTTGTCGATGTTTTCATATGATAATTCAAGTATTGAAGACATATCTATCCTAATTATATAGATCTGAATCTGTGTGCAATAACAACTAATTTATTAATTTGAAAATGCTAATTTTGAATAATCATGGTTTAACTAGATTTAAAATAACTTTGTCTGCTGTTTTGCAGTAATTAAGTAACATAACAACAGCATAATTGAAAACTAATTCTCTCAATTGTAGTCTGAAGAAATTAACATGGTATTCTGAATAAAAAAGCATGATTTTTAGGGATTTGGGACTGGTTGCCTCAAACAGAGTATTATCTTAAGTAATTCAATGAATGACACTAAAGTTATTGTTTCTTGTGGCCATGTCTGTGAAGCAGAAATTTGGTTTGGTTTATTGACAAGGGAGCTGAATACCCATTTTAAACTATTTTGAATTACCTGAAGTGTACTAGAATTTTAGTGGTCATCTTCGACTCAATAAGCGCAGTATGTTGACCATTCTCAACATGAAATTTGGGAAGTTTAGCTTAGTCCAAAATTTTTGTTGGTCGTGATTGTTGGTTTTTCGAAGATGGTGTCGGAGTCGATTTTTTTGAATGGCTGAGAGTTTGAAATCTGGTGTAAATTTTTCCAGGTTCACGAGCCTTACCTGTGACCTTGTAGGCAACCATTGACTTGCTAAAGTCAAAAGCCAAATTACACCAGACAAATCTGTAAATCAGATTAACCTTAATATTGTATATATCATCTATATAGTAGTTTCACATATATGCATTTCTTGACAAGTATATCAGGGATGCGAAATTCGAATGATCAGCATTGCCATACAGTTACTATAGTTTATATTAGGTTGAACAGGTTTTTCCTGATTTCTTATATATGTCACTGTCGTGTGAGTGTTGGATTCTGACCTAAACCAAAATGAATATACTTTTTTATTGAATTATCTTTAGATTCAATGAATCCAGATTATGGACCAATTCCAGGTGGAAAACCAGGGGGTTTAGCTCATGGAGGGCCAATACCAACACAGGTAATATTGTCTTTCCTAAATTTTGGATATATAACAACATGGATATTAGGTATTGAAAATCAAAGCATTTGGTAACTAGTCAGTAAGATTTAAGCTGAATTGTGCATAACGATTTCATCTTTTTTATTTATCAGTTTCCTATGGGCTCTGGTGGTCCTGAAGGTGTTCCCACAAGTATGCCAATGTCGGGACCTGGTAATCCAGGTTCTAATTTACCAGTGATGAATGGACTCAATGGATCTGGACCTGATCAAAATATAGATGGATTGCCCAAGGTATTTGGAATGTTTGTTTTTGCCATAAATTATCTTGCTCATATTATAAATGAGTCTTCTTCTGAAAAGGGTTTAAAATTTGGCCTTAGTTGTTCAAGATAGAAAATAGAAGTGCTTGAATTTTCAAAATGTTGCCAGTTGTATAATAAGTATAAGTTTATTTTTACTCCATAATAAGCATAAGATAGAACAAAAGGATTGATAAAAACAATAAATAAAAGTGATTACAGAATCAGGAAAGCGAACAAAACCTTGAGTAAGGTTTAAAACGTACGGATTTTAGATTGGAAGGTGTTGTTAAAAGAAGTGGTACATGTTCGCTATAACTTTCAGTGTACCTTCAATTTACTGTCATGTCATTCGCAGAGTTCTCCAAGCAGCTTAACACCGATGGGAAATCCTGGTGGAGGAGGACCCATAGGACCACCACATTCAGGAGGCCCGGGTACGAATCCACACACGCCACAAGAGGGAGAAGGAGATTCTTATAACATGCCTTTTCCTGATAATGTGAGTAATAGTGCTCCTATGCACACTCCATACTAGTGACAATATGTTTTAGTATGTGTGGGACAAAAAGACAACAATAGTGTAGATTACAGCTATTACGGGGAGAGTATTTAGTTATTTAATGTGAAGGTGTGGAAGAGGATTGGGTTACAATTTTTCACACTTTAACTTATTAAAAATGTCGGAAAAATCTGGTTTCACATGCATTGAAATTGGTGGCGAATGAAACGAGTATCGCTTTCTTGAATACAAAAATACATGTGCGAATTTTTTTGGAAATCTTCAAGTAGTAATTGAGGATATATTGGGATGTGGGATATCTGAAATTAGCTACAAACTGTCATATTAATAACCATTTTACGATTAATGGCAATTGGCAACAAATCAATTTAATACATATAAGGTTTCTTGCGTCTAAGTAGTTGTTTGATAAACAACAGTGTCATTTGCCAGTTTCCCTAGCAAGGTGCTTCTGAAGGTTGGAATTTATTGCGCAATTAGACTGTTTATTGCACAATCATAATATGTATTGTACAATCTGAATATTTGTGATCTATTATACACAGTTAAAGATAGGGATAAAACGGGCACCACAAGGTCGCAATTAGTCCTCAGTGGTAAACTATTGCCTATCTATATTTTCCATGTGAAGTCCGAAGTATAACTGAGCTTGTATGTCGAATTCGAATGCTTATGAGTTTCATGGGAACGATGAATTGACTAATTTGTGCAATTATAGTTGTAGACAATTTTGGCGAAATAAAATGGCATCATCGTCCATATTTGTACATATTATTTCTTTGTTATTTCAAATTTTCTTGATTTGATTTCCCTATTTATTTCCTTATTGTAGCCATATTTTTTGTCTCAAATTTTTCTCACTCTCCACGATTCGCTTGCAATCGTGAAAGAAAGGTTGATAGATGTTTAATACAGTCCTTCAACAAATCTATCGACTCTATTATTTTGGTTTTCTATTGGAAAGTTAAGACATCTGATATTAATAGATGAGTTCATTAGAAGTCATCACGCTGTCAAAATGAAATTAATTTTTGGTAGTCTTTCGCCAAAATTATATTTTCTTCCTATATTCAAACTTAATTTATCATTAGTATATTATTGGCACGTTATCGTGTGCTATTTTTTCGTGCTTTGTTTTATTGTGTTTCAAACTATTCATATTGTTAGTATTTGAAGTCAATAAAGATAAATTTGGCACAAATAATTTCATAAGCATGATGAAAACTGGGACAGATGAAGATAAAGTCAAGTTACTGAATGAAGAATCATTTAAACCAACGTCAATTTTCAGTTATGTTGAATAAGTGGCTTAGCGAATAGCGATAATTGTTAATCTTGTTAAATTTGATTGGAGATTCAAGAAATTACAATATTCTGTTGAAATATATCGTTTTATCTTATACTTGACTAGAGGTACTTTACCGGTATAAGAAATGTTTTCAATCAAAAGCGCTTAGTTCAAATAAAATGTCTATAAATATCAGTGTCAAAAATAGATATAGTTTTACCAGCTTCTGACATATCATTGATCACCGCAAAACTTTGCTCTGCTCGTAAAGATTCTCTTTTACTTTGGAATGAGTGTGACCTTAATTTAATTAAATTGTTAAAGAAGTTCTTATAACGTTAGCATAGTTATTTTCTGGAATGGTCAGTGGTTATTAATAAGTAGTCTGCAGAAATGTTTTTCAAATTCCTAGGCATTTATTTAGTTAGGTGTGATTAGGGACCGTCAGTCCCAGATTTACATTTATTTTCAGTTTGTGTTGTTAGATAACTTTCTCCTAATTCACTTCACTAGATAATATATATATTTATTTCTGGATTATGGTGTTTTCTTGGTGATTAGGGTGTTGTAAAGCTCAAAAATGCATGGCTTTATCTTGTAGCAAGTGATTTATATTATAGGTAATTAACTGGTGGAGAATTAGGCTCAACTTCCTTTGTACATACAGAAATTTGTAAATTATGTTCATTTACAAAGCATATCAGAGCTCAAAAATAAACTTTCCTAAATTCAATTGACTGTTGAATAAGGCCTGAATAATGGTATCTTGCGTAATCTGATTCAATCTCTTGAATATACATTTTTTCAAGGTATTTTCTCTGTAATATGTAGAACATCATTTGGAATGTTTTAAATGGCCAAATTCAACTTCATTATCTAGAACAGTTTTTTTGTGAGCTGACTATAAGGCTATTAGAAGATCATTTAAATTTTGGTTCTCGGTAGTGTATCAGTATCACACATTAAACAAAGATATACATATTCACATAGCCAAGTTACTGTAGCTCTTAAATGTGCCATAGAACATAGTAGATGTGGTCATATGAATATCTACCCAATTTGATGTTTCTCATAAATTTATTCTGTTGTCGATAATTTTACATTTATCAAGTAACTGAAATAATATGAGTGAAAAAGTTTCCAGTGCTTTGCAGTATGGATTTTTCATTTTTTTATCTGTACTGAATTTCCAATTAATCACTGTCACAAGATTTCCATTACTTCCACAAACTGAAAATTGGAATTTTGTATCATTGACTAATTTTTGGCTGGCTTTTTATGTAATAATAGCGAATCAGATAACTTGTGACGTTTTTACGCAAGAAGGGACAGGCCATTATTGTCTGATTATGAGGGGGGTTCGTAAATATCTTTGTTGAATTAGGTAAAAGAATTTTCATGTGCTATCTGCAACTAATGGTGGGCATTTAGTGTATTAAATGAAGTGAATGACTTGATCAAGATATATTACGAACTGATTTCAAAAGGGACTTTATAAACACCCTGAATATAATAAATGAATTGTAATCATATCACAGAGACCATTCAATGCGGTATAAATTGTCTAAAATTGAATTTCTGAACTATCTTTTTGCCGCTATGTAATATAATCAAAATACATTGCAGTGTTCTCGGCCTTGGGAGCTGTAAAATCCATTCCTCTATTTGTAATTTTCATGTTACTAATTACTGTCTTTTCTGTATTTTTTTCTTGTACCCTCTCTCTGCTACGATGAATGAAACTGCCCGATGTGTGTGGAAACGTGGCTTTGCATTCTCATACTACTCTACTGCTACATTCATGAATGTCTGCTGCCTGCCTGCCTGAGCCGCTGTTTGTGACAACTGCATTTTGCTGCATCCTGCCTACCTGCGATACATGTTTGTGCATAATTTCGGTATGTGGCCTGACGTTAATTGCATCCATACCTCGGATTGCTCGTGATCGCACGTTTCTCTACTGCATCTTTCCTGCTAACCAATATCTTGAAAAAAATGATAATAATCTAAAAATAATAAAAATGACATGACGCTGAATGTGTTTTTCGTAACGATTTAAAAATTATGTTGCATGAAATGCTTACAATGGAAAAATAAAAAAAAATTTGGGTGTGCCAAAAACGTTTCATTCATTTGAACTACACCCGTGTTTGACTTTGAATTATGATGACGATACAATGTTTTCAAAATGTGAACTCATTTAAACCAATTCATGCATGGCAAAATCATGATTATCGTCAATGACTACAACAACAACAACAGAACCAACAAGACGCGGCTGCCATTTTGAAAATGAAAGAAAGCTTGCAGCAAGAAGCAAAGAGATTCGAAAACAAGGATGGCTTTATTCCCTAACACAGGATGTACAATTTTTTGGAACCAACTTCAAACTGTTGAACTACATACTATCTTGTGAAGGAAAGAGCTGAGATGAATAGGGTTACCCAGTCTGAAATTCTTTTAGCCTATATCAGGCAAATCAAAAGACTATACGAAATCGAATGCTAGTATCTATGGCTTAGTATGAATGAATGAACTTTTCAGTCCCACCTGGGAATTATCGAAAAAATTCCATCGCGAATTTTTTTCTGAGATGTATAGTTTGAAAATATTATTTACCATGACATTGAAAACTTTTTTTATTTTGAATTATCTTCGTATCATGTATGATCACCAACTTTGAATCATGTTTGAGTTGTGCTTCGACTGGGCAAGCACGATTTAATGATAATGAAATATGAGACCGAATGAATGAACCATTGTTTTTTTTAACGCTTTTTCATATTATTTATATAAAAAAGAATATTTGTTATTGTTTGTGACACAATATTTGATTTTTTTTTCATCAATATATTATCATTATTTGTCATGTTTTTGTGATAAAATTGAAACCGGTACTATATCATATCAGCAAATTGATTTCTATTTATATAAATATATTTTTTTTTCAAATATCACCAGCACAGTTCCCATCATTAGCAAATTAGATCTCCTTTCACGATCAGGAAATCCTATACCCAAATAGTTTTGGAGCTCTGCCATTTTTTTATTGATGTTTATGAAAGTAAAAAACTGCAATGGAAATTTATCGTTACCATATGTGGGTTGATGGCCCCAACAGGTGTATCAAATGAAGTAAAATAAACTTGATTGAACACTACTTAAAGTTAAACAAATTTGGTTGACATATATTAAGAACTGATTTCAAAAATGACAAAATTAAAATTTAAAATTCTGAATGGACTTTATGAACACTCTGTATATTATTGAAGAATGAACATTTTTAATACTTTTCGCTGTCGCCATCTTTTTCATACTGTACTTTAAATACCATTGAAGTAGTGTGAACAATTCAAATTTACCAAACTATTTGGACCACAGAATTCCCTTTCATCGTTTTTCCTGCCTGGGTAGCTTATTTTTGGGTGAAATCATTTTTCTCTTCTCTGAACTATTTTATTAATGAAATGTAGCGATACAACAGTTCTAATGTCGTTTTTGTCCAGTTTATCGATGTTTTTTTTATTTCACCACTGTTGTCGTTTTTGTTCACTTTTTTATTTTTATATCCAAATTAATAATTGTCCTTTTTTGCTTCATTCGACCTGATTTCATCATCCGGTTACATACATGGTTATATTTAAAAGAATTTACATTTCATGTTTCTTTTAGAATTTTTGCATTTTACTGCCCATATTTATTCCTTGTATGTCAAAAACTATAACAGGCTGCATTCAAGATGCTTCCCTGCGGAGTTTATTATCAAAAATCACCAGTTTTGCCTGATGGATGTGGTCACTAAGACTTAAAAAAATAAACCTAGTTTGAAAAGATGTAACATTTTACCAGAGACAAATTTCAGAGTAATATGTTATTTTAAAGCATAATACAGTCTTTTGAAAACTAACTTTTTAAAGGTAAATATTTAATTTTCACAGTAAAAACCCATTATGGTCGGGGGTTTTGACAACTTGACTCTTCACATTTAGCCCCCCTAAAGATTTTCTGAAATTTTAATCGCAAAGATGAATCCAGTATTTTGTTTATGAATTTGTCTCTGTCAATAATTTGGCTCAGATAATTGTGAAATCTATTGATAGTCCACACACAAAAATGCCTCTCGGACAATTGAAGTCTCATATCTTAATTTGTTTTGTGTGAAGCATCACATTGTCAAGAAAAAATAATTTTATTCGATCATGTCAATATCACTTGTCTTCTATTGAATGAAGAATGTCTCATTTGGAAAATTGTTTCTTGTATTTTTATTTGTTATGTTATAAGATTTGTTTGTTGTCATTTGTCAATTAGGATTTGTATTGACCACAGAATTAAGATTTGATCTTTGAAATCTCCAACCGACTATTCGAAATATGAAGTTACATTAACGTATTAGAGTTTGAAATGTCCAGTGAATGAAAATATTTTAAAACTATTGTTTTTTGTACTGTGTCATTTTGAAATGACTCCAGTAAATTTAGCTAGAATAACTTGTTTTGATTTAACTTTTTTGTATTTGGAAATTTGTATTGGTATAAATAAACATTTATGGATAGATAATATATTTAAATACTAAAACAACCAAGCAAATACTTTTCAAAGGCATTTCTAATTCACTGCTACCAAAAAAAGTGTTTTTTGTAAAATGTGCTGTTCCCCGCATTGGGCAAAATATTACTGCAAAGTATATATATCTAATCAGATTATACGGAATCAAATTAATTAAAAGGACAATTCTCAATGTCACTAAATACAATTCAATGATTCGATGTTCTGGAAATGTTAAATTTTATACCAGATTACATATCTGGACAATCATGATTTAGGTAACCCATAATTTATGCTTTTATTGAGTATTGGACCAAGTTTCATTTTGCATTCCTATGGAGATATGTGGTCATAGTTTAAAACAGCATATATGTGTAAGCATTCTTCTGATTTTGACATGGAATTCGCAACTTTTTTTCTATAAATATTTTGTGTCCTAGGTATGTGAAAATATTTTTATAAAAGAAACTGCTTTATGTTATGATTATTGTTTTTAGGTTACACTCCATGCCATTTATTTTATGTACTCGTCAATCTCGGCCAAGCGTGTTGTGATAAAATGTGGATATTCATATCTAATAATGCGATTGGGGTAAAATCCATGTTTGGCTGAGTTTAATCGGGGAAAAAGTTTGTTTTCTTGTTTAGATACTACATATTACTATTATTTAATATTATACTTTTTCAGTGTCACGTGATGTTTCGCTTTACTGATTTTGCGATGAACTGTCAATGAAATGCCTAATAAAAACTACATTTGGTAGTATCTTGTTTTTATTGATTTTATGCGATAACTACAAATTTAAATATGTGCTAAAAGCTGTTGCGGAAATTAGGAACTTTGTTTTGGGTAGTATAGTATTAGGACACTGACGCAAGAAGGGATTTAAAATTTTACAAAGAGGTTCTCTTCAGAACCCACATACAAAAAGCTACCGCATTTTTAGAAAAGTATGCCGAACGCAACATGGGATTACATAGAAGAGCAACTTAATTGTCGTATTTGTGTAAGTGTATGTCACTAAACCTAAGCTACTCTGCTATCTATATCAAACCCATTCAACTATTTTTGTAGAAATGTTTTGATGAGAAGAGAAGGTAGAGTGAATTTGTCACAGCAGGCTTCAAGTACATCGTTTTCACATCCAAGTTCTTGGGGAACGTCAGACCTCCTGAGTTCGTTATCTGATGGATTGTCAAATGCACGTTCAACACCAGCTATCTTCATACGGAGGAATGCGCCAGACGCTGAACTTAAAACGTGGGCTCGATTAATTTACTAGTTATGCTGTATTTTTAGTGCTTAGTGCTATAAATACGAAGAACTGTTAGCGCAACCGAATGGATGCAGAAAGATAATGGTTAGCCCCACTGCTTTTCCCTGAGCATGTCAAACCTACCCCCAACATGTATGTAATCATAACCTACCTAAAAGCTATTCCGGAACAAATTTTTTCTTATCCCTTTTTATTGAACCACACCCCGCTCCATTCCCTGTTCTTGGCCCACTCACATCTCTCCTATTCTCCGAAGTTCACCCCAACCTAGCTTCTTTAAAATTACCCTCGACCCACCCTTCCTACTCGTGCTACGTTACTAATCATGCATCCGAATCACTTCCGTTTTCCCATCCGTACTGCTTTCCTTAACACACTTCTATCACAACCCGCGCCTCTCTCCCCAGTCCAACTAGCTCCGACCCATTGCCTCACTCCCACTCCCATTGTTTTCTTTGACGCAGTCTACTCTTTTTCATACTATCTACTAAGTAAAGCGGTTATGCAAACTTGCGGCTTTTATACGGCAGAAGTATAAAACGAGGTTACGGGTCGTGCTTCAAATAACCGTACAAAAGTATCTTAATATATCGGAAAAAAATGAAATCACTGACAAAGAATGGGAATTTATTTCATATGAATAGTTATATTGGAAATCAGCGCGAATAAATTTGAATATAGAAAGTAACAAGTTGGACGAAAGAAAAGGGTTCTTGGGAAAGAAAAAGGCTCGAGAAACTATATAACAAAAAAGAAAAAATAATCTTTTATACAGTAGCATAAGATGGAATAATAAGAAAAAGAAGCGAAAGCGGCCATCTCACTCTGTCAGTTTTGCAACAGTAAAAAACGATCACTCGGAGCATCGATTATTAGAATGCTGTTTCACATGGAGTGTCATTTACAACCTCCAAAAATACTAATACCGTATTAAATACAATTTGTTACAACGCATGTTCAGAAGATAATAATATAATAGTGAAATTAGTATATGTATAATTAATGCCGAAATCCACAACCTCAGAATCAAATCAACAAATGAAAGAATAAACACAGAAAAAGCTATGACAAGACAGATGGTAAATAAGAATATATGGAGAGTTAAAAGCATGAAAGGCCTACAGAATGATATCGAACGAGTTGAAAATTAAAGTTTGGTTTCACAAATGTTATATAGGACATAATCAAACACATAAATAAACAAAGAAGAAACTGTTTTTAGCCAATTCATAATACCATCAAACAACGAAAATGATGAAACGGAGCCTATCAATAGTAAAGGCATTGTAATATACATTGCAATAATGTGATGAAGTATTGTACCTTTGCTCCAACCGGATACATGGATATGGCGACACTTGCCTGATCATTTTATCCGTAATTTCTAATCCGGAAAAAAGGGGGAAATAAAGGGCCAAAACAGTGTGGAAATTGATGTTAGATAATTCGGGTCGGAAATAGATTAAGAAATTGAGCTAGAGGTAGATTTAGGAAGACAGGAGTGGCAAGAAGGAAGTGGGCCGGGAGTAGAAGTGGAGAAGATTCCACTCTTTACATTCTGCAATTACGTTTTTTGGTATTTTTTCTAATTAGAGTGTAGTTGATGGTTGCTTCCTTATATATATATATATATTTGATGAACTTGTCAGATAAATCCAATGGACTCCAGCTCGGTGCCTTAAATTAGTTTGTGTTAAGACTCTCGTGGATCTAAATAGAAATTTGTCACACTGCTCTGACTCAAATATTTGTGCTTTGCAAGAGATGCAAGGTTAGGGTTGCCAACTATGAAAAGTTTCAATAAAAAACATAGATTACCGTCATCATTTATTTTGTAGCTTGCAGGAAAGAACAATATACAACAATGAAATAAAGTTTATATACAAGCTAAAAAGATATATTAAAAACAATCATAATGTGTTTTTCATTTAATGTTTATTTAACATTGACCCAGACAATGTTGATAAGATTGTTATTTCTTTGGTTATTTAAGCTGGACCAAAGCACAATTGAAAAGAATAATTAAAAGCTTGCAAATACATAAACGGAGGCAATTTTTTAAGAACGGAACAATATCAAACACAGTACTGTAACTATCGGGCAAAACGACGTTGGAAAGAATAAAGGACAATTTCGGAAAGCATATTTTCTAAATGCTAAAAAGGACAAGGACCGAATAGCTTAATCAAAGAATTGTCCTTCAAAATAACGGACGCTTGGCAACCCTATGCAAGGATTGATTTCGGGGAGTAATTTCTGACTGATGATTATAGCGTCGTTCTTTTTTATTGTGAAACAAATGTTCACTCCATTGTCTCGACCTCCTCATTTGCGCTTAAAGGATATTTGCAAAGAGATCGAAAAAGATTCGTATAAGCATACCTCTACGTTCGCAGTAAACTCCTGCCAGCTCAAGTTTGTGTTCACGATTATACTCAACGTACTCGTGACTCCGTGTGATGATAAACCGCTCATCAGCGTTTTTCTTTGCAAGTTTCCAAGTCAGAGAACTGTTCAGTTATTAACAAAATTTCCGACCATATGGATCGAATCCTCATTTTCTTTTCTCCGGCTAAATTTGTAACATGGGGAGATTCAAATGTAGCCTACAAGCCCTACATCACCCAACTAGGCTGAATTCAAATAGAACAGATCTCGCGGGATCATAGCATATAATTTTCCCTTCCGCTACTCTTCTCTCAAATTGTCACATTATCAACGCGTTATCCGGATAACCCGATATATTCGACTTTAATTCTCGATCTGTGTCTGGTATCTGATATCTCAACAATTTCAATTCAACCTTCTATCGGCAAATATGACTATGTTGTTTGCCTAATCATTACTTATCGATCTTTAGATCGGTAGGTATGTTGATAGGTATTTGTCTGTTTGTTAGATGCACGCGATATCTCATGAAGGCGAGTTTGAATCTGCTCCAAATTTTGCATGTTCATTCATCATTTTTCGGACCAGAAGCCTATTGATTTCGGATGAATTATGTCATATAATTAGCGAGTTATTATTTAATTAGTGATAGAACACGCGGTGTCACTGTCAAGTCTTCGGTCTCCGACCGATATTCTCGTTTTCAAGTCACTCCATTTTTGATTCAAATCAGTATAAGCTTCCGAAATTCTGTAGACGTGCCAATATGAATTTGAATAACGTTTTGTTAACACTTGGTACGATTTCTCGTGCAACTAACAGGCTGCTTCCGGCCAATACGTTATACACCTTGGTCCTATGACAAAGTTCTCCTGAACTGTCTTGATTTTATTGAATTGAGCAAATCATATTTTCCATACCGCTGGAAATTGCGATCATTGATTTTAAAACAGCTTCGATCAAACGAATCATGGTAAATATCACGCCGGAGTACCTCAGGGCTCAATTCTTGAGCCTACATTGTTCTTAATATTCATCAATAGTTTTCAATAAGATTTGTATTTTGCGACTTGCCGAATCTTTGGAAATGAACTTGCCTCACGTTTCCATTTCTGAATCGAAAAAAAAAATCCTATTAATCAGTCGTTATATTGAACCTGATCTATTTTCAAATCGAAGGGAATTCTCGAGAATCATGTACATTTTGTCTGGCAAGAACAATACCCCGCTTTACGGTTTAAAAAATGTCAAATTTATCATAGTTAGAACAGAATCCTTTGAATCCTATCTCAGGCAGATGATCGTAGATGGTTAAAACGGTGATAACATTATGTATCAGGTTATAGATATAACTGGTATTCATATTTGGTCAATCGTGATTCTGATTAAAAAAAAAAAGGATAAAATTGATGAATTGTTACTCAGATTTATTTCCGGTTCAAATAAAAAATATTGGTGGAAAAAATATAGCACAATGATTGTACTTGTATCTGCTTTACGGTTCAATCTTCTTAGCGTACAACGAAGCGAGCAAATTCAGTCCAATCACACAAGCACCGTATTCCATTACCTTTATTTCTGAAACCGGATGAATTATAAATTACTAAAATAATTACGTCATTTCCAAATAACCAGTTGGACTAATCACCCAACGACCATGTATATATGTGTTACAGTACCCTGACAAACACGCATTTTGACCATTTATATAAACCTTGCTACATGCTGACTGTATAAGAGTGATTTTTCCCAAAATGTATTTGGTAATAGTTAGGTTAATAGTTAATAGATAAGTTTGTTAATGATAGATATATATCAAATTTCGATATATATCTCATTCAATTTGATGTTGATCAAAGTTAGCCGTAACCCAACACAATTCTGGTTTTACCGAAAGACATTTACGCTTGATCACAGCTTGAATGCCATTCGCAATATGCCGCAACACAACGCCACAACACAAGCTGTTTGTTGAGAATACCTATTGAAACTAGAGAAAAGGCGAAAGGAAATATAGTTTGATATAACAATGTTAGTGACCTACAAAACAAGTGTTTTTGATGATGTGTTATACGCAAGCGTAACATGATGTATTTTTGTTTCGGAACACTAAGAAGTATATCTTTATATTTCGATTTGGCTAACAATATTGTTTAGGAACCATTTAGATCCGATCATAGATATTTGTAAACGCTGTACGTTCATCATAATTTGATTGATGCGAAAGGTGGGTACTGATACAGTCAGATGTCAGTTAAGGTAAAGTGTTGGAATAATATATAGCGATGTTGAATGAGGGACATGCGCATTTGTATGTATATTAACTTGCTTCAATATCCATTCATTCTTAATACTAGCAACGGTATCTCCACTGTTTCAAACAAATCGGTAATGTGTCAGTAAACCAATTTAGTGTGCACTGTTAATAAGCTAAATTGTCTGTCTTTTTCGGCTGAACTAAGTACTAGAAGTCAGAACAACAATATAATATACAATAAACCTATCGTTCAGCACAGCGAAGAGGTAATCGTTTGTAAACCCGGCCTGGGGCGAGGTGAAATACTTTCATAAGCATTTCAAAAATGCATAGAAGGTTATTTAAAACAATAATCAGCGGTTGTTTCGTATTACACAACTTTGAACGACATTTCTATTACCCTGTTTACAGAGAAGTAGGTCATACTCACCTGCGCAAATGCGATTTAGGTGGTCAGTCATGACCTCAGGCTAATCCTAATAAACCTCGCGAAAGAGTATATAATTGGCCTCTCAAACACCATTTGTAGTACACAAAGGCGTCTACCGAATACACCCAAACAATACAGCAAGTTCAGCCTCGTAAAAGAAAACAAAATGAAAATGCACGGAATTTTTTTCTGCGGTCTGCTGTTTTTTTCAAGCTGTTTGTTGGTTACCTCCGTGCCTCTCGGAATTTACGTTTTGGACACAAGAGAAACGGCAACAGCTGAAGTCACAGCCATTGCAGTAGCGGTAAGAACGATTAGCTAGTTCTAGTTTTCATATTGATCTTTGTTTTGTACGGTAGTTTCGTAGTTAATTAAGATGGTAGCATCAAAATGGTTTCTCAAACAATAATCTCTGCTAACTTCAGTTCACACTGAGACAATTTTTTGCTGTTAAAGTCTCATATCATATTCAAGGCTGTAATGAATAAGCTTGGCAAGTAGCAAACTAATTATATTTGGTATATTTAGATAAAATCAAAGGTTGAAGAAAAACTCGGCCGAACCTTCACACAATATGATGTCCAGAGTTACAGTTCTTTCTTTCAAGATGCTAATATGCTTGCAATCCACGTAAGAGTATTTTTATATCTTATCGTCATCTACTTTTTTGATTTCTATAGAGATTTGATCACAAATGGCCGGCTATATGTTGCAAAATAAGCAAGTAACGTTATATTTGTAACATTACTTAAACGTATTAAACATTGCTAACTCGCACCTTGTAAACAGTAATAATGCGGCATGCCATTTTGAATCAAATTATTGTCTTGATCACAAGTTTCAGAAAAGTTATTGGAACAATGTCCCAATCGGAAAACATGTACTATGAATTTTGTTCAATAACAATTGGAAAACGTTAGTAGAGTTATATATAACTCAACTGAGCACTCCACTTATTATCACATACTTCTTATTTTTCTTTCAGGTAAAAGTTGCAGATTCACCAGCAAAGGAATTCATCAGCTTTGTGGTATCCGATGCATACGACGCTAGCTTGAGAAAGGTCGTGACGGCGATCGACGGGTTATCGAAAAATGGCAAGAACAACCTGTCTGTCATGATCGTCGGACGAAAATAAATTTTTACTAGTATTACCTTCAGAAAATTCATTACAAATCCACGTATAATCGAAATTATGAAAATCACGGTCAAAGAAAAAAATGCTCATAATTTTATACCTATAAAAAGCTGTGTTTTACTTTACTTCCATTTATAAATACTTTTTACATTTATAATGTCTTATGTATAGAGTTTTCTAAAATAAACTAAGAATGAATGTGAGCAGATTCTGTTTTTTATTCGCGGGGAAAAAGTATTTTAACACACCAAACCCAATATGATATAACCTAGTCTTTAGATCAGTGATTCTCAAACTCGGTTCTGAGAGCCGCATGCGGCTCTCAACAACCCTTTCTGCGGCTCTAGTTAGGGCTGCCAACCGTCCCGGAATGGGACAGTCCCGGAATTGACGTCTAGCGTCCCGTGTCCCGGGTTGGGCTACGGTTGTCCCGGAATTTAGCGACAATCAAGGCGTTCTGAAATAGAAGACCATTGTAAGCAAGTCGGCTTCGTTCAAAACTGGAAACGGATGTAGTTCACGCAAACACATTTTTCAATAAAACGAGTGCATCTATATGGTTCATTCAAATAGGAGTGAGTTGAAATTTGTGGATTAGACATGTTTCGTCAACCGTGACCTCCTGATGGCATAATATTAAAATATGCTGACAATTGCAAATGGATGATAACATTATATACAGCAGTCACCTTAATTTGAGAGGATCAAAAACTTAATTCAGTGAGATTTGTTGAAAAATTTAGTTAATGAAATTGCGGCGTGTAACAATATTTTGTGTTTCTTGTTTTTAGTTTATAATGCACTGTTAGCGTGAGGCTCTTGTATGACCAGGATTTCATTATTCAGTCAGTTTCCAGGCTCGCACAGCCGTCTGTTTCAGGACGCCTTTCTGACAGATCTTGTCTTAGCGAGATTTGATAATTTATTATATTTCTGTAAGGATTACAAATTTTAACATAAACTTTGTGAAAACTAACAAAGATCTTCTTAAATCGGCAAAATCACAATAAAAATTTAAATACCAGAAAGACTAATTACTTGTGTTGTTTCAACATCTCACAACTGAGTCAACATTTCACAACTTTCATTGATTATCATAGATTTATTTACAGTTTAGAAAATAACGCTGCATGAATCGGATAATTTGAATATTTTCAACGAATGCCGAAAAGTCGAATACTGTAATGAATATTTTTCATACACAACACTAGGGATCCTGAACGTCGGAGGTCGATACTCCCTTTGGAAATTAATAGAAACATTGAAAAGTCGGCAATAAAGCGTTGTTTCACTGGTTAATTTCATCATAATAAGATTTGAGGAATGGTGAATGGCAAATAGTGACGTACTTGGTGTTATACTACAGTAGTGACTAGGATCGTTGGTGTTACTACACTTGTGAGTCGGACCATTTTGAAATACCAATTCACGCTGTCACAAGACAGGAACTTCTAAAGATAGGGCAGTTCCGGTACCGTAACACAGCGCGGTGACACTGAACTAACTCGTAACTGTCTCGTAAAAGCGGGGCTTGCATTCACTGTTATAACTGATGTCTTTAAATGTTGGTGCTTTTCTTGGAATCGGTGAACGTGTCCACATATTTGAGCATAGCTCTTTTGTAAATTAACCGTGCCTGTTTAATGTGAATGGTAAACGAGATGCAAATATTTATTAGAACGATAATTGAGTTTCTCATGCTTTTCTATGATGTTCGTGTTATTTTAGTATTAAACTGATAGATAAACCTCACAAATTTGCGATTGGGTGAAACCTGAATGTTGATTTAAAATAGCGATTAAATAAATTGGCAATATAAGCATTCTAGTTGTCATAAGGCCTTTGTGCCTAATAGAGGGTCAGACGCTAATTATAACTAATTCCTTCAAGTTTCAACGTTTTTTTTTCAACAAAACACCCCCCCCCCCCCCCCTTTGCGTCGATTCTATGCGGCGCTTTTCGACTTGGTTATTTTAAGGAATAAATAACTTGTAAAGTACGATTTATCATGTTTCGATTAAACATATTAAGATTCATCGAGCATTCTTCCTTGTGCAACCATTTGAGTGAAGTAGTTGAAATGCAGACAAAAACAAATTAACAAATTACAAAAACAAATTACGCGGTCGACCACCCATTTGATTCCGGGCGGATTGTTTGAAATTCCGTCTAGTCTCAGATGAGGCTGCAGCTTAGTTGAAGATGATTGATCTTTACGAGAAAGAGCAACTGAAATGCGCTTTATGGTAAGGGACCATTAAGTTATGGAAAACATGCCAATTGAAAATACCCCAATGTCAAACGATCTTCGCTTAGGATATTGTCAATGTTTGTGTCAATATAGGTCTGCAAATCTGTGTTTTCTACCACAAAACACGTGAAATCGTAGCATTGATCTGTTCTGACTGAAACACATGTGAAATAATTGCTTCGAATGGCTACAGCGACATACAAGCCAGATTTAAAAAGGATTGATCAATCCAAGGGAAGCCAAAAGTCGTACTAAGCAGCTTGCATACCAATAACTAGCTTTTAAATTTCAGTCATATTCATGTTGGTTTGTGACATTTACAATAAAATAGCATTCTAGCAGAGCTGAATATAGGTATATCTGATGTTCATATTGTTCTTGATCTCTGACTGGTTGGCCCCCCCTGATCTATATATACTCTAGTAAAGTCTACTCTACAGTGATCAAAGAAACTGCCAAGGGAAAATACACAAACAGTGGTAATAAAGATCCGTAGAATCAAACTTGTAGAATGTTTCATACATTGCCATAACAATTGTGGTCACGAAATAGTTCTCGAGCGATTATACAGGGTTTGTAGGCATCTAAATTCTAAACAACTGTTTTATGGAACAATATGCCATGCGAAGATAGTACCTGAAAATATCTGACGGATATGTAGGCTATATATCAGGAGGATATTATTGATCTCTGGTTTTCCGGGCTCTTTTGCTTATATGGCGGATATATAAAAAAATTAAACAACGAGCAAAACGTAATGGAGCACAGCCATCACGCAGTAACGATGGGTAAGAAGACCACGATGGACTGACCGATCACAACGTCGTCAGTTTAACTATATGATAACTTATCGCGCTCATAATATAGACACAAAAGCAAGTCCCCATTTAAGGGTCTTGTGAAGTGTTTATATAAACTTGGCACGCTCGGGTTATGTGGACCAGTTTCGTCGTAATATTCAATATGATTTTAGATAGCTTTGAACCGGAAATGATTATATTACACATATGACAGCCCATTTTATGTGGTTTTGAAATGGACCGCAAGGCACAAGAATCTAGTGCACAGAAGGGAAAGGTTGAAAACCTGTACTTTGAACCGGAAATGATCATATTACACATATGACAGCCCATTTTATGTGGTTTTGAAATGGATCGCGAGGCACAAGAATCTAATGCACAAAAGGGAAAGGTTTAAAAACCTGCAATTATGGATGGCATATACTCATAATTCAATAGAAAAGACATGCTAATGAGCAATTCTGTAAAATCATTATCTTTTACAATAGCATAAAGCATTATTGTATATTAGCAGCAGGTCCAAACATGCATTCATTCATTAGTGGATGAACCAAGCTAGAACCTTCCTAAAATTTCAAAGCAAATGTCCATTATGTAACTAAACGTTTTTCAGGCAAAGTTCAGTATAGATCGCGGATACAACGCACGATTTGGAGCTTCGACGTGCCCGCATTTTCAAAGAATTTTGTTGATCTAATATGCAGTGTCTTGTTTGTTGAAAATCAGATTGTTTCTGTAGTGTGATTTGCTGCCCCTGCATGTTAATCTATGTTATCGGAACATTCTTGTCGAGGGTTTGTATTTCAAACGCCTAGAAGTATTCTCCGCAAATCAATTTTTAAAACTGCTCAGCCTACTTAACTAGAAACATCGTTAGATAGGGCAGACTGAAAGAATGACGGGTCGTGAGACGGAACCCTTAGTTAAAGAAACACTGCCATTACAAGGAGAATACAATGACGAGTACACAGCAACTGTGTCTGAATCTGATAAGGAAGAAACCACTCCAGTAAAATCAATTTTAAGAAAAGAACCTCAAAGCACGACATCACTATGGGATGAGACTGACGTTAGACAGAAGCTTCTTCTTGTGGATTTAATGCTAATGGATTTCCTATCGGCATTTTTAATTGGCATACCCAGTCCTTTTTTTTCGCGAATAGTAATTAAAAGAGGAGGCTCAATATTGTATTCTGCTCTCATACTTCAAAGTATAATGTTGTCCTTTTCAATTTGTTGTGTAATTTTTGGAAAATATCTCCCTTCTATGGGAATCAAGAAAATGTTTGTTGGCGGATTGGCAACATTTGGCTTGTGCCAAGTTACATTTGGATTATTGCATTTTGTTATGGATATCAAAGCCTTTACAGGATTAGGGATATTGATACGTGTCCTCCAAGGAGCTGGAGAAGCTGCATTTTCATTATCTTCTATGACTGTATTGTGTAAGGAATATCCAGCCCACGTAACGAAAGTTTTTGGATTTACAGAAGCTATGGTTGGGTTAGGTTACCTTATGGGGCCGATTTTCGGAGGTGGGATGTTTGACAATATAGGCATGCTACTGCCACTGGTACTATCGGGAAGCATAGTCATATTAGCTATACCATGTCATTTATATTTGCTACGACCATACACACACGAGGAAAATGCAGAAAGTCGGGAATTCAACGTATCAGAGTGGTTAGCTAATCCTTACATCATTTCAGTTTTGTGTTCAGTGGCCACTTTGTTTGGAACATTTGGGTACCTTGATGTTGCAATTACTACCTACTTGGAAAAACTTGGATTTACTGCCACAACTGTAGGATTGGTTTTGTTCACCTACGGACTAAGTTACTGCTTTGGTGCAGCCTTAATAGGATATATTGTTGCTTTGAAAGTATGGATGAGAAAAGTATCTATGGCTGTTGGGTTCATCGGGTTTTCTTTAGTCCTGATGGTGTATGTCCCAAAGCAATTGACGTCCTTAATTTATGTTGCATCATCCGCGCTGGGTATATTTGCTGCCGTAGCTGCGGTACCTGCCTTTGAATATTTGTTGCCAAGGGATGGCGACCCTAGCTTACAAATACATAGTGCAGTTTCCGGTGCTTGGTACAGTTGCATTGGACTCGGCATGTTCGTTCTCCCACTGATAGGCTCTGTAATTCACAAGGCTTTGCATTCTTTTTCGTGGTCTCTGTTTGTATTGCCTTGTGTTGGATTTGCCCTTAGTTTGATTTTAGCTGGGTTGGTATACTTGATAAAAAGCGACAAAAGTTCGTGAAATTGTCACATTTGAAAATGTCAAATAAGAGACGACGAAATAAATTTGCTCAAGATCTAAAAAACAAACTCTGCCAATCATCAAAGACCCGGTATCAATTCAAGAAAAAAAAACTACGAAGATAGTTTTTATAGCTTACTTGTCCTAATATAGATACTTGTACGCAAACTATGGTAGCAAAAATTTTATCAGCAAATGTAGTGTAGCTCCAAACTTTTTATTTTTAAATTATTTGACTTGCAATTGTGAAGTTATTGACTATATCCGCTAGTTAGTAAATGTGCTTCTTTACGTGACTAATATTTTGGTCTATAATGTGATTCCCAAAGTGGACGATATCGCCCCCCGGTGGCGAAAACGATACAGAGGGGGGCGAGAAAGTCTAGGGGGGCGATTTCGCGAAACATGTTTTTGGTCGGCGAATCGTGCACTTGATTACTGTACTCTGCGTGCTTTCGTAGGTTTGAATCACGTGGGCGATGTCACACGCGAAAGGATTGCTGGACTCGTCTTTGCAGTTAGTACGGTAGTTTGCGTATCCCAGTGGTCGGCAAATCTGTAGTAATCTGGCCCGGGACGCTTCACTGAATGGATCTTTTCCCGACCTTTGATCCCGGAAATTTTTCCCATATTTCACCATTCTAAAATGTTCGGTGTTTATTTTAAGAGTGGTTTCGCGAGTTGTTGCCTATAAAATCAAGTATTTGTTTCAAACCATCATTCTAATTCATACCATTCAACAATCTGTTTTTTAAAAGTACCGGTAAATAATTTTAGCCCAGTCTATCACAGCTATTTCTACTCTAATTTTTTATTACTGTAATTGAACTGAAACTCCTAGAAGGACAAGGTGTTCAATGACTTATTTTATTTGAATTTCCGAAAAACTAACGAATATAATTCAAAATCGCGAAAATGAGGTAATGTTCACGACCACGCCTGAAAGTCTGTATGAGTGAGGGAATGTGTCTGAGGGGATGCGAAAGGGGGCATTGTTACGTTTATTTTTGCATCTTGTTGATAGGCCAATGTCACGAAGTAAACAAGGAAGTCTTTGCCAGGGGAAACATCCAAACGGCGGTTTTAACGATGAATTAATTTTATTTATTATCTACGATCGAGGAGTAAATTACATTTTTTTTGGTAACAGGATTTATCGTGAGACACGTTTAGACTAAATTTTATTATATCCTAAAAATTATATTGAACAGCTACTCGTTTAACGAGCCTTCAATTCAATTACAATTAGACAAATGAAAACACGCAGAGAAGTTCATGTTATTGCAATGCAATAAGGAAATCAAATTCATATTCTATTCGAGAGATTCATCACTGCTTTAATTTTTTGTAAGAATGTATCTTCTTAAAGAAAATCTTTATCAAAATTTCACAAACCATGCAAAAATATTCACTTCGATGTTTGGAAGTACATATTTGTGCGAACAATTATTTTTGAAAAGGAACATTACAAAGAACAAGCAAAGTACTAGGATTAGTGATGCCCATTTAGAAAATCTTCCAATCTTGGCGTCGTAAAGCTATCAAGCGTGATGCAGCAACAAGACAGTGTCACATTTAATGTCATTGTAATAATTTTTTAATAAGACGACTGAGTTCAGTTCACGAATTGTCGCAGTTTTTGCACGATGTTCCGTTTTTAATTTTCAAAAAAATATATGCGATCCGCAAAAGGATAGCAACCCTAAATTTTGTCCCGCGAGCGACTTAAAATTTGCCGACCCCTGAGCCATCTGAGTCCACGAATCCAAAACAAATGGCTGATTAATTATGGACTGGTGATCGGACAGGAAGACGTGGTAGAATGAAGAATGAATTTTACCGAAGACCGTTATACATCATGTATTTTGGTGAGATCATCAGGCTGTAGGGATAAATGAGATGTACCTAAATCATTATTATAAGTTTTGAAAAATTAATTTGTTTTCATTATTTTATTTCAATGTGAAACGAGGTGAATTTAGGGAGGTAAATGCTATAAGGCAAGTGCACGGCGGTTTTTGAGGAGGTAGAACCCGGGTTCTTTCATTTCCGACCTCTGATATGGTGGAAAATGGGTTTTCAGCCGTGACACTATTGCCATCGAAACAACTAAATCGCCTTTCCATCAGTAAACGGGGTAATTTTAGATATAATAAAAAACTCGCTGAAGAACACCAAGCTCATCCACCTCAATAAAAATAAACTATGATTTGTCTCCTTATTTGGTCTGTAATATATTCGTTTCAGACTTTCGATTTATTTTTGCAGTGCCGGGGGGCGATGAAGTTGTATAAACTACTATAGGGGGGCGATGGTACAAAAAGTTTGGGAACCACTGGTCTATAACATAAGTATGTAGGCCTATATATTATACCAAGCATGACTTAGCCCGCTATACGGGGGAGGATTTTCATTATATTTGGTATAAAATGCTATAAAAGAATAAACAACATTGTCAATCCAACAAAAAAAAAACTGCAAATGAACAAAGAAATGTGTCATTGAATCGGGTTCATAATACTGGAGTTCACGGTTCTACACTATTTACTTGCAACTGCAAATATATACTATAAAATAATATAAAAAAACGTACTATATTAAAAATAATACAGTAGCCTATAGAAAGATGCTAAAATTATGAAATTCTCTCTCTCAAGCTCCTATTGGGTCATGCCGGAAATAAGATGTCGATTCCCATTTTCTTGCAATTCCGATCATACTGGCATTCGTCGAGCAACACCGTCTTCTATATATGTGATAGCTTTACCGCCGTAGCTAGATATTTTCAAAAAAAGGGGGGGGGGAGGGGGGGTCTTAAATTTCTGGTCGCCAAGTTAGATCGAAACAGTTAACGGGTCCGGCCGAACGCTGGGAACGTGTGTTTCATGAATCTCGAGGGTCTCAAAAGCGCTTCGAGCTACGAAAAATTGCTATGTATGAAAGTGGGGTTCAGGGGTTCCCAAAACCACCCCCTGGACGTACCACATACTATATTTTAAATAGAAAGTAAAAAGCTCACACACACTAAAGGCTACTGATAGAATTTAATTCTTGAGATGTTTACAATATAAACAAAACATACCCCGAATAGTTTGGCATCAGACCGGCTTTTGTGTGATAAATATGTTGTGCCGGTAATCGAAATTAAAATGCACTTTGTCGATATCTATCGAAATCTTCACTGTCATACCAAACACCCTGTCTCCTTTCCGGTGTAAACCAATGGCACATATCCCTGCACCATGGCGTATTTTGATTGAAGTTGTTTGTAGTTATCAAATGAAAATACACACAATTATTTCACTTACACAAGAACAAAAACACTCATGTAGAGCCTTTTTTAACTGCACTTATCGCAGCTCGACAGCGTTTATCCCCAAAATTCTATTTTCGCATTAATACTTTGTTTTGTACGGTAGTGCATAAACACTATAGTATAAAGTTTTGTAGTTAAGATGGGAGCATCAATATAGTCTCTTAAATAATATTCTCTCAGTTAAAATTGCACATTTCAGTTCACACTGAGACAATTTCTGTTGTTAATCTCATATCACATCAAGTTTTAGTGAATAATAAAGAATGTGATAAATAATCTTGGCAAGTATTAAGCTAATTATACTCGACCAAACCTTAACACAGTATGATGTACAGAGTTGCCGTCTTTTCATTCGGGATGCCAATATGCTTGCAATTAGGGCTGCCAACCGTCCCGGAATGGCCAGGACAGTCCCGGAATTGACGTCTAGCGGCCCGTGTCTCGGGCTGGGCTACGGTTGTCCCGGAATTTAACGACAATCAAGGCGTTCTGAAATAGAAGACCATTGTAAGCGTGTCGGCTTCGTTAAACTGGAAACGGACCTAATTCACGCAAACACATTTTTCAATAAAAACGATTACATCTATATGGTTCATTCAAATGGGAGGGAGTTGAAATTTGTAGATTAGACATGTTTCGTCAACCGTGACCTCCTGATGGCATAACATTAAAATATGCTGACAATTGCAAATGGATAATAACATTATATACAGCAGTCACCTTAATTTGAGAGGATCAAAAACTTAATCCAGTGAGATTTGGTGAAAAATTTAGTTAATGAAGTTGCGGCGTGTAACAATATTTTGTGTTTATTGTTTTTAATTTATATTGCAATGTTAGCGTGAGGCTCTTTTATGACCAGGATTTCATTATTCAGTCAGTTTCCAGGCTCGCACAGCCGTCTGTTTTCAGGACGCCTTGCTGACCGCTCTTGTCTTAGCGAGAGTTAATAATTTATTATATTTCCGTAAGGATTACAAATTTTAACATAAACTTTGTGAAAACTAACAAAGATCTCCCTAAATCGACAAAATCACAATGAAAATTTAAATACCAGAAAGACTAATTTCTTGTGTTTTTTGTTAAATAATTAAATCTTCTTAGCGAAAATAGTACATTTCCCTGTTTTAATTTATTTTGCATTTATGCGTTAAAGAGTCAACATTTCACAACTTTCATTGATTATCAAAAATTTATTTACAGTTTGGAAAATAACGCTGCACGACGCGCACTGTTACTTTTGACGTTCTTCGTGTTTCACAAGCTTCTGTTGCATCATTTTTCAAATTCGAGACTTTAAGGTGTCCCGTAATGGTTTAACACAAAGTTGGAAACCCTGGGCTCTAGTTAATGACTAAGATAATTACTGTCAAAGAACATTTTTCATTGAAAACTAATCATTGACTTGGAATTAAAATGCTGAAGTCTATTAGTCAGTCAAATGGATTCCCTGTGTTTATTTGCGTAGCGTTGACTAATCTACAAGATGCAATAGTGACGCAACGTAAGTTTTCGAAGCCACGCGGACACTTCTCACTTGGAGAGATTTTGAACATGGCTGTAATCATTGGCTCTTTTTTGTGGATTTTTCAGTTTTTGTCGCATTTCCGAATATTATCCATAAATCAAATAACTCAATGATTATTTTAATTTCTGGAAAGTTTTAATTTTGTTTCAGTGATCG